ACCATAGATATCGGGTGTGCGCCGGCAGGGGATCGAACCCCGGACCATGTGCATGTTCGGCGAGAGTCCTAACCACTGTGCCACCGACGAAGAAGTCGTGGAGATGAGGTATAGGATAACGGTCTGGTACCGTAGCGTTATTCAGAGCGCGATAATCTCCACATGGTCGCCAGTCGTGATTATTTTTGGGAACCATATGCAAAGGTGAAGACCATGGACTGTTGGATGGTCGTGTGATGCCCAGCTGCATCATATGTTCGAATTCCGACTTAGCTGCTGCTAGTTTATCGGGTGGTAACCGTCGTGGACGTGCCTTCACAGGTTGTCCTGTTGTGATGATTTTATGCGTAACTGTATGAGATATATCTTCGACGTTGTATGACAGTTTAAGGATTTTCGGAAATCGTTGCAACAAGGTAGAGAACATTTCACTCTCCGGCTTTTCTATACAGATGCTATGAACAGAGTAGTCACCTGTAATACCGTGGATCTTGAGTTGGGTGCAATTGTCAATCAGTTTTTTCTTGCTGATATCAACTAACAGTTTGAAGTGACTTAGGTAGTCTGCACCAAGTATAGCGTGACGTACGTCAGCTACTATGAAGATCCGTGTGAAACGTCGGCGTAATCCTAGGTTTAGAATCATTGACTGTTCACCATACGTCTGTATGTTGGTTTGATTGGCAGCGCGGAGTGAAAGTTTACCAGGTATTTTGGCTGATCGCCTGGATAGTGAGGGGGAATAACACTGACCTCGGCGCCTGTATCTACCAGGAATAATGTGCCGGTAGTCAAGTCCCTCACGTAGAAAAGGCGACTGGGATGATTGCCAGTAACAGCCGTCGCCATTACTGCCTGACTAGGGAGTTTCCCTGAGTTGCGTCACCACTATTGTACATGCACGGTCGGACACACTTCAGGGCATTATGCCCATACCTTCTATGATACCAGCAAATGTTACGGCTTTGAGACGGTGTTCTAGAACGTCGTCTAGATCTTGGTCACCGTTGCTTGGATACTGTCTGTGACTGGTTCCGCTGTGCTCGGAGCTCAGATACTTCCAGTCGTAAGTCTTGCATTTGAGATGTTAACTGGGAAAGTACCCAAAACATTGGTGTGTCCTTCATAGATGTGGAAGGGCTTGGTGGTACTACCTCCGTAGACACGCTATTTATGCCATTATTTGATAACACGTCCATGATATCGTCTGCCATCTTAGCTAGTTCTTCAAGGTCTGTCGTCCTAGAAGATATTGTTAGGATTTGTTGGACGTTTTGTGGTAAACGTTGTAAGAACATCTGACGTAGAATTAAGTCATCTACTTTGTGTGATCCAATCAACTGGCGTATATGTCTAAGTAGTTGGGATGGCTTTTTTGTACCTAGATCACACGAAGTAAGTAGTTGTTGTATGCGTTTTTCATCGGAGAGGGTGGTCCGCTGGATAAGTGCAGCTTTTAGTTTGACATATTGAGAGTCTGTAGGCTTGCTGTCTATGACATCGACAACCTCTCGTAGTACTTCCGTGGGTATTGCTGCTAATACGCAACCATACATGGCAATCTGCGACGTAATGCCTCGAGCTGCAAACAACTGTTCAATGATTGTGAACCAGACACGTGGTTCAGCCAGATCAAATTGAGGTAGTCTTAAGTCCGGTAAGGCGTTATTAGAAGAGTTCTGTGTCTCTTCGCCTTTATTACCTTCATCAGCAACAGTGGAACGTTTAGGTGGAGCCATTGTCAAAAAATATTTAAGTATAGAGATATACAAAATAGCAAAACGTATGGTAACAAAAATTAAGCAATGCGAGATTATAAGGTCAAAATAGCAACAAAAATGTTCAAAACGAGTTAACTATCGCAAAAATGTTCAAAAAAAGGTTAACCATCGAAGAAAAAAAATGTTCGAAGCGGGCTCACCAATTTTTGTGGTGGACCTTTTGCTCTGTTAGCTTATTTACCCAAAATTCAAATAGAAAACAAAATACCAAATCAATTGAGTTTACAAAGATCCAAATTCCACAATAAACGTACTGGATTCCAGAAGTGCTGCTGGAAGACTGCTCCAGTTCTAATTCTCCAGTGTTGACGTTGCCGGAGGTCGACCAAAGTGCGTAGGAAGAGGCTACGATGCTCCTGCAAAAATTCGAGATAGAAAGCAGGTTGTTATAATTGATCGACGGCAGTTGAGATGGCGGAGAAGACGGAGAGTCGAAGGCAGAATTATATATTTTTTAAATCTCGAGGGAAGTTCAAAGTACAGAGCTTTTGGTCAAAACAAAGTAGTGTACAATATGTTCATCTTTTACATAATAGTAAAATTTGGATAAGTTTATTTTTGAGGACTCCACACTTCTAAGCCATATCTTCGCATCTCTTTGGCTACCTGGGCAGCCTTCTCAGTCTCGTACATTGTACGACATTCCACGTACTCATTCTTGCTCTTGCTTTCATTGAGAGAAAACGAATCAGCTGGCTGACTGGCTTCCCGAAGGCTTTCATCAGCCGCTGTGTCATTTCGCCTCTCCGATTTGAGCGAATAAGATTGTTTTTATTTGAAGTTTTTGTAATTTTAATATATTTTCTGTGTTGAAGTTTCTCTAGCGGTTTGAAAGATTTAGTGATGTGGGGCTGGTGGCCTCACGCCCAACCCTCCATCTTTATCTTGGCATGTGACCTGCTGAAAAACTAGCGAGCTAGTTAACTCGGTGAGGCTACTGTTGTTGCTGCTCTATTTTGACTGAACTAGAATGCACGTATATCTTAGTACTTCTTCGCGTTTATATTTGTGTCCTAACGTTGTGATTACTCGACATCCACAACGTAATTAAAAAGGCACTTGCGAAGGAATACGATAGTGTATTATTGCAGCAATCAATTATTCAAAAATCGAGCGAGGACAAAAGGTATCAATTGTTAACATGCAAGATTTAGAGTAATAAACAAATCAAAGTACAATTACACAATGAAAGTATAGTACAATGATGAGTAATAAAACGGGTCACTACAATAGCCCCTCCGTAGAATGCAGGTAAATGAAGTTTACCTGTATTCGGAATGATATTGTAAATTACAATGACACAGAAAAAATATATGAGTTTTTGTTATGAAAACCGAATTGAGGATTTTAAGTTTTTGAGGTTTGATAATATAACTGTATATATGCGAAAATGTTAACAACTTCGAAACGAACCAAAATGTTTAAAAAGTTGTGCAAAATGTAACAATAAAAGCAGAAAAATTATTATTAGAATAATAATGAAGTTGTTGTTGTAAAGAGTTACAGAATAGATTTATATCTTAACATACAATTAATAGTACCGTAATAAGGAAGTATGGAAATGACTTGGGTAAACATTCAGTTACCTCTATTTCCATGAAAGCTGGTTGTACAAGTGGAATTGTACAAGAAGAGATGGCTGTGCGAGAGAAGAGTGCAGCAGTAGCTGCTGCTGATACGGTTGAAAGTGAACGTCCGTCAGCATGTTGTTGTTGTTGCTGGCTGTTGTTACTCGGCGTTGAGGAGTAACTTGAATTGATGTTTGCTGAGGTTGGAGAGTAGAAGTTGGTTGATTGATAGCCATTCCAACAAGAGCAGTTGGCACAAGCTGTGGTAAACCAGTGCTTTGAATCAGCTGACCGTTAGGAACAACAGTCAAAACTTTTAATGGAGCTCCTGGTGCCAGAGTGATAAACTGGGGAGTAGCATAGGAGCGTGCAGCTACAGTACCAGGTTGACCACTGACAGGGACGTCAGTTGCCATCATTGTTGGTTGTTGCTGATGTTGTTGGATATAAGTTGGCTGTTGAGCTGGTTGTAACTGATGAGCTTGTGCTTGAATCTGTTGTTGTTGAGGTGATTGGATAAACTGTTGTAATTGAACAGCTGTAGGACCGGCTTGAGTAAATGGAGTTGCAGACCATTGTAAGAGTGTTTGCACACCTGTAGACAATGCTGAAGCTTGAGGACAGAGAACTGGAATTGAGGTGTTGCATAACAGCCAGCTGCTTGAGTATCAGGGTGAACTGGGATAGCAGTCGCTGTACCGCCAGGTCCGGAGGTACTTTTAGCAGAAATATCAGTAATTATACATCCAAATGTTATGAAGTTATAAAAGTTAATGCGATGGCAAAGATGATTTATTCCACTGTGTATACTTCGAAATGATGTAGTCCATCAATCAGCTCTGTCGGGCTCGCCAATTTGTTGCTGCTCTATTTTGACTGAACTAGAATGCACGTATATCTTAGTACTTCTTCGCGTTTATATTTGTGTCCTAACGTTGTGATTACTCGACATCCACAACGTAATTAAAAAGGCACTTGCGAAGGAATACGATAGTGTATTATTGCAGCAATCAATTATTCAAAAATCGAGCGAGGACAAAAGGTATCAATTGTTAACATGCAAGATTTAGAGTAATAAACAAATCAAAGTACAATTACACAATGAAAGTATAGTACAATGATGAGTAATAAAACGGGTCACTACACTGTGACTACTACACTTACACTAAATATAATAATAGTTATTATTGTTGATATTATGTGTGTACATATATAAACGTGATATTTAATTAGCTGTTTACGTTTTCTTTGTTTCTTCCCCTGTTTTTTAGGCTGAACAACCTACACTAATTATATCAATTATTACTATCTCTTTTCTTTTGTGGATGACACCGGAGGACTAATTGGTGAAGGATCAACTGCATTCATAGTAACAACACGGTCTTAACACACCGCATACTGCAAACAACATATAACTAGTCCCAGCACCAATCAAAACTACCACAGTTGAGTGGCTGGACGAACTACGCAGAAGTTCACCGAAGACCAGGAACCTTTACATCACACTCAAAAGTGAGCACAAAGAAACTAAACTGGTTTGCAATAGCTCGTAAAAACTATATTGGATATTGGAAGAGGTTTAAAGTCTGCTTTACATATAAAGATACAGAACACCAGATTATACGGTGCAGCTTTCAATCTTAAAACTAGAATGTCAGAAATACAGTTGACCGCGTTGCGGCGGGAGTTCAAGTTGACAAGGTTGTCAGGATTTTCAAGCAGGTATTGTTCCTTTGATTGTGTTGCCATAAAATGGGCTGCTTTCACTAACTCTCTCTCTCTGATGCATTCCTGAATAACATAAAGGATCCTAACAACTAGACGCCTATAAGTAGGTGCTCTTAGTATTAGGACGATGAACGTGTGAAACCTGTGGAGTAGGCACTTACTGTCTCGTTAAAGAACTTTATCTCTTGGCACAATAGGTAGTTTTAGCACCTCACTTTACAAAAATTTATAAGTCTAGGGCCTGAGTTCTTTTTATTCCTACTCTCTTACACTTAATTTTTACGTATAAATTAGATTAGTCTCTATAGGTTCGGGCCCTAACAAGGTTTTGCCAACCAGTTGGTGTCGTTAGTCACACAATAGGTGCAACTTATTTCCAAGCATATTGCTTCTGGGCTACGCCCCGCCCTCAGTCTCCCCAGCAGATTATCACTATATGACGCCATTCATCTGATCGACTACATATATTCGTTGATACTCAGTAATACTGATCAGTTCAACCACTATAAAGGAGTAGTGGATTATAATGTGGACTCAATTGCTGAGTCTGTAGAGCCCCGAGTTGATAATTAAGGGATCTCTGAATATGATCCTCTTGAGGATGGGTTTTTTCCATTTCATCCCCCATCAGCCTTTATTTCACTAGTGTTAGGCAACCGATCCAAGACTATTGGGGGTAGGCCCACAAAGAAATATCCATAACTTGAGTACTGTAGAACGCTTCGAGAGAAAAAATAAATAAACGAAGTGTGGTTGAGACAACGATAAGATAGAGGTAGTATTGAAATTAGCTGCACACAGTCTTTCCAGAGATTCCTTTTCACTCTTAATAAAATGGCTTGATAGTCGTGCTTGTGTGTTATTTTCGTGCTTGTAGAGCTAATCGTATTTCTAATTGATCATTTCCTGTTGTTCAACTCCAGGCACCTAACTGGTCCACTAGCAACAATTTCGTTTATTTCTTGCGTCCCAAATGACATTGTTTTATACATATAAGCACTTTTAGCGTTGCAGTAGTAGTTTTTGTTACTACCCTTAGTAACTGTAATCTATTATGACTGTTCTTTGCATCCTGAAAGAGTCCCTGTATCCCATTCCTGCATAATGGAACCGCGAAAAGTGAGGAAATCATGGCTTAGTACAAGTCAGGAGATTCTATATATTGCATCTGAGGATCGAAACCGACCAGTGGGTCCCATCTCACCATTATGTATTACTAAGCAAAATTTGAAACATGAAGAATCAAATAATTGTGTAAGTATTGATAATTTCACTTTGGTTTTCTGCTTATTTACTTGTTTTGACTAATCACAATTACTATTTGTATTCCAACTTCAGTAATGTACAGATTATCATAGCTCAGCACAGCTAGTATTTTAGAAGTGTATTAACTATTATACTAAGCGTCACACGGAGAATTTAAAGTGTATAAATTAGTAACTTGTTATAAACACTTCATTATAAAGTGTTGTGATGCCTAAATAAATACTTGGGTGGTTTTCTTATGTAAAAACTGCAATATAATCTACTTAGTGACCAAGCTAATTTTGCTTACTTGCGATGACTTCTCTTTAAAGTTGAACAGTTCTAAGTTGAATAAAGCGATAAGGCGTAGAAAAACACGTGGTAGAGATATGCATGCTAAGATTAGTCACTAACCTCCACACTGAAAGTGGTACAACTCACATGAGTAAAGTGATTAACCGGTTAAACAATTATTCCTAAACTAGATGTTAACTCAAGCAAGTTCTGCGTCATTACCTTAAATTTGATGAGATTAAAACCCATATCAAACAGTCGGATTTTCACTCCAAGGTGTAATCGAGCTCAGGACAGAAGGCTGAAACGTCGGGGGAACACTTTGAGGGACAACTTAACTGGCCTGCAGCCATATTTAACTTGCCTAGCGTCTAACACCTACCTGGATGGGATGTCAGTACCTATTCTCCATCTGTAACTGAAGTTACAGAGGGTATCTTTTATCTGAGATGAAGCAAGGCAGCAGAGTCTGGTAGAATGACTCTATATGTGTTTAAGGATGGAGATGACTGTTGTTTGGGTTAACTAGGATAACATATAATTTCTGGGAATCAGAGGTAGTTCTGTTAAACTGGTGTAAGGCATTGATTACCCCTGTCTGTAAGAAGCAAGGTAAGTCTTCTTGTGATAATCATAAAGGGGTTAACTTGACTAGTAAAGCATTTAATGTTCTAGGTTCGATAATCATGCGTAGACTGAGCGGTGCTTGGGAGATACAAAATCGTGAAAACTAGTTAGACTTTAGACCATTAAGAGGACGTACTGATTATATCTTCACCTTTTGACAGATTTAAAAACATAAGCATGCTTACCGGCTTCCAACACTTGCTGTATATCTTAGCCTGAAGGTGGCATTCCACTCCGTAGACCGAGAGGTGCTGTGGCAACGTTTTCGCGCGGAGTACCGAAAAGGTATACTAATCAAGACAATCTACTCAAATCCATGCAGGTGTGTAAGAACTTACAGAGAGTTGTTATTTGAAGTGGTGACAATCAGTAGTGTCCATTGGAGATGCCTATTTACCCATTCTTGTTTAATTTCACCATAGGTATGGACTGACTCTAAGTGACTAGCTTCTGAGACATTTACCTGTTACTAGGGCACAGTTTTGCTGACTTGGAGTTTGTGGATGTTATTATCCTCTTAGGTGAAGATGCTGATAAAATGTACAGTCTTCTGAACACCTTAAGCAGAAAACTTCGAATGTTTGCCATACGATTCACTCCTGTAGTAATTTCTGGCACCTTTGTAATATTAGTCTGGATGTCTGAAATTAGATGTTTGGAGTTTTTCGCGTGTTTTTTATATACACCCACAGTATCCAGCCTACCTAGTCTGATGACGTACATCCACAGTTCAATCATCACTGTCCGCAGAATTGCTTGCAACTAGTGCTGACACTAGATAATTACATGGTTTATGGCGTGTTCTTAGACAAAGTAAATATGGTCTGTCAGTAAGTGATGTCATATTATAATATCGGGTGTTAATCTATTATTGCATCACTGGTTGAGGTTCATCGGATCATGTGTCCAGTAGCGTTTTCAGATGCGGCTCAAAAATGGCATTAGTGGCGAACATGCTGCAGTTCCCCTGTCCCATTTTCAGAATTAATCGGAATTAATGAGTGCTTTTTGGAGTGCACTTAATCAATATGCCTACTTGTTTCATTCTGTCGTCCCCCCCACGAACCATTTGGTCTCTGTTTTCCTCATATTGTTCTCGTATTTTTTGTGTGGTGCATCTCTTGGTGCACATGCTGTACCAAGTTTGTGTTTTAATTAAAAATGTCAAAATAAAATTCACTCTTTAGTGTTATTATTTGATAAGATTGTAGGGTCTGTACGCCCTCAATTTAAGAACTTCTTTTTAGATGGCGTTGGGATTAGTTGGAATCACCGCTATCAATACTTTCATAGGAGAAACTAAATTCGGCAAATAGACATCTTTGAAGGAAAACATCACTATCAACGTATCATAAATACTAAGCCACACATCTTTTTTGTTCATTTTTAAAGAAGTCAAGATCCAGTTTAAAATCATGCTTTGTAAACACTACAGAATTGTATCTGTTTCTAAATTGTATTTACCTTAAGTTATTTGGTCATTTTATCACTTGGCATACGCCGCGTAGTACTGATGTTTCTAGAGAAACCTTTATACTTGTTTAACTAAGCTCTTAAGCAAATAATGTAAGGATTAAATATTGGGGACTGTAGCTCACGGGTGTAGGTGCTAGACTTCCAACCACCGAGTCATAGGTGCTAACCGCGTTCCGCCTATTATGGTTTACTAGTTAAGTAGTATCATTAGCCCACACATAACAGATGTAGCACATTTCCAACCGCGTACAAACGAATATGATTGTTGAAAAACATTTAATTTTTAATTTTAGAAGTTGAATAAGCCATCTGTAGTCATTTACCTATAATGTCGAGCTGGTTACTAAGGTATATCATCCCTTAGAAAGTAGACGGTTTGTTTACTATACCAAATAAATATTTAATCATTGTTAACGCATTCTATTTTCTTTTATTTACCTTTCCACAGGATAATATGGATGAGGCAACACTTAATAATAAATATACAGTGGTCTTGCATAGGAATGAGAATGAAGACCCACTTACAGTAAATGTTTCAGACATTCTTTCTTTATCGACGTTTTCTCGACGAGCTGTAGTAGATTTTGGTTCAACTACTGGGAAGTCATTAACTCGTTTCTTGTTGCTAGAAAACCTTATTGATGAGGCACAATCGGTAAGTCTCTGCCCTTTTTTATAATGTACTTATTTATTTACCCCTGATGCACCTGATTAATTTCGTATTTGTAAATTATACAGACTGTTTTCTGATGAAAAAAAATATTCATAGAAAATAAAAATAATCAGTAGCATTTCAAACTACAATACTGAACACTGTCATCGTCAGATACACGTCAATGATTCATGTAAACAAGCTATACTGCCTCTTGCAGGTCCAACCATACCAGAAAGGTTTCTTGTGTAGAAGCAGTTACCACAATAGTGTAAGTTGCCCGCACTCTGTCTAGTGTCTTAGGGTGAATTCCTACTGTTGGTGGATAGGGGTGTAACAGGAGTAAGATGTCCTCTTATGACCAGCAAACCAGCTATACTTCTTCTCCACTCTGGGGAAGATGGTTTAGAAAAAGTAATCCCCGAAAATCGTACATCGCAACTTACCTTGCGGTGGTAAGATCTTCATACGGACACGACTCCGAAAAGCAACTCAAACAGGCAGTGTGGGTTCAGCACCATGCATCTGTCCCCTGACTTCTGTGGTCACTTGTTACCGATGCTCTTTCTGTTTCAATCATTTCATGTAGAAATCAACTTTCACAGTCTGAGCAACCTGGAAGTAATGAAATCCCACACGGTTTCATAAATATACAGAGCTTTTCTATCACTCATCTTCATCTTGCTTTCCTGTCACTGTTCTTACTACTACGTAGATAGATTCTTCATCTTTTCTCAATTCAGCGACCATGAGAGCTAAAAAAACACTACTAATAGTCTCTTAAAACCATGCTGCTACTTTTATATCTGAGCGTTTGGTGTCTTTATGCTAAATCTGACAACAGGCGTTATTAGCTAAAACTCTGGCATCTCGGGCCACGGATATTTAGTATTGGGGAGACACACATACAAGACCCAATGACTGGAGACTATTGCTGATGCGTTTCAAAATCGTTCTCAATAACGAAAATCGTTTCGGTCTTTGTAATCTCCTAGATCCATTAAGTCTTTGTGTGATTGTTCTTTCTCCTGGGCAACTCTGCTCATTGTAATTATTTTGAGCTTTTCTTTGCTTCTCTCTACATTTGTATGCAGTATGGAATGTGGTAATGTAAGCTACTGCATTTCTGTGCAAAGTTGTACGGTGAAAATTCAATCAGTCAGAGTGATGATTACTGATGAATAATATCAAACTATGATTTAAGCATCTCCTTGATAATAACCCCCCAACTGTCTTTACAGATGAAATTCATTTTTTTAAAGTGATCAAAACACTAGGTTTCATCCGGCTTTCCCTTCACATCTTGCTATTTACTTCACATTGCCATACTCTGTGATCTGCATAGATTCCGAGTCCATTATCGAAGTAAGTTAAATCATGGTTACAACAGACGTTCCTGTTCACCAGTCTATAATCTTTTTAAATATTTTAGCAGGTTGTTGCATGTCTCATTCGCTTTAATTTTATCAAAGGTGGTGATTCAACGTGGACCTCCAGACAATGAATTCTTTATTGATTGGATAGCATCAGAAACAGATAATAACGAATTTCGATCATGCTATCCTGCAGCCTCTAAACAAATTCACCTTTCACCTTTGCACGGCCGAGCTCTATTGAAAATTACATGGGCACCTGCTCGTAATTCAACGTCAGAGTGTGTATCTACTTTCCATCACGTTATTCAATTCCGTGTTAATAATGCATACACTCTTCAAGCTGTCATCATTGGTCGGTTGTTGCCACGTGTTGAAAAATCCAGTCGTCCAAAAGTCTGGCTTAAACAAGCACAGGTTAGTTACTATTAAAATACCAACAGTCTTTATATTGTATCCGTCTAATTTCATAGGTATAATTAGCCTAAGGTGAATCATAAAAATAAATCAGTGTTTATCTCCAGGCTCCTACTATTCGTTAGCAGAATAATCACTGGCACATCATATAGAATAACATAATTTAGGAAATATACTAGTTTGTAGTTCTGCTACATACACAGGTTGTACAAAGCTGATATCAAACAGCTATACAACAGTAAGTGAAGCACTTTTAGTCACCGTCTTACATTTCCAAGCTACACAACGATTACTAAGCGTTGGAAAGGTTCCTGGCATAACTCACTATATGTAGGTTAGTATTTGCAGATGTTGACTTCTTTTTCGTCTTTATTTAAATAATATTTCTTATGTAACTTAAGCCTTTGCAAAAACTGGCACGCCATCCTGCTCCTGTCCACTCAGAACAAGATACTAAGTTGCGTCATCTTGAAGAGAATAAAAGGTGCTCTGGATGCAAAACTTATTTACATGCAGAACTAGCTATCATAACATTACTGTTTTGTTGATCCTAAATTTGTAGTTGGAGACACTTATGTTTTCATGTTGAGAAGCGCTTTTATCCAAAAAGAAGCTATGCTCATGCATTGTGTAGTTTGGATTTCTTTTATGAACACCTTTTTTGCTTCTTCGGTAGACCACTTTTTATACGGCTCTAGGCTCTACTTTTGGGATGTATGCTTCTTGGGGTCAATCACTTCCAGACTTTTGATGTATTGTTTAGAATTCCTACTAGAGCATTTAATGAAGGTGAATTCAGTTTCTTTATTTCTTTGCTTTCCGAGTGGAACATAGGGCTTCAAGCTTTGACTTTGAAGTTTCAGTATCTCGATGGTGTTATCTTTTACGGAGTGAGGTTACTGGCTTCACACCCAATCTTTCCTCCCTACCGGGCTTATTGCCAGCTAAGCAAGATTTAGGACTACGTCGGCCAATAGTCGAACCCCATCTGCGTAACCCTATCTCAAAGTGACCATATGTGGTCCTTCCAACTTTGGAAACTGTTTGCCTGATCCTGTCACACATTCGTCGGTATTTCGCGTCACACTTTCATATGCTGCTTTCTCCCGACCTCCCAGCAGCGTCCCAAGTAACAGCCTCATCGTTGACAGATCTTGAGCGCCATTCAACTGCGCAAAAGCCTCGAAGTCCTGCCCGAAGATCCATATGTCTCCATCAAAAACTTCAGGGCATAGGCTGTCCATTTGTTGGTTACAGCGACACCAAATGTAACAATAGAAGACAAAGGTTAGGCAACAGATCGTTTATTTAAGAAATCAACGGATATTTATAGATTTTCATGTACATTATTATAGATTATTCAAAGCAAACAAACAGTCTTCTGATTGGGGGTTTCTCGCTGAACGTTAATCTTTCATCTCTTTGTGGCCGTTTCTTGAAGTTCAGATTATCTATCTGCAAATTGTATCCGCCTACGCAAAGGCTGCTGTGATTGGTTGTTGAATCAGTCTCTGTTCTTATTTATCTCATGACCAGTATTGGGGACGTAAACATTGACGTAAATTACTGTCTACCAATTTCGGCTGGCAGCCAGCTCTCACCACAATAGCACTAAAAATGATGTCTATCTCTGCCGGTAGAAATGGAAGCTCGGAAATCAGTGTAACTAACCGAATGTTCCCATTAAACCCTAGAATGTCCTTTTTACTTACTTTACACCTAAGAAAAGGCTGTTAAAAACTATTATCAATCCTATACCATAGGTTTCTGTGTTTACTTGCCCTCTTTAGGTGGGGAAACGTACTAAATAGTGTGGTTAGGCTCAGAATGTTAGTTACGGAAGGTAAGACAGTTGATAAGGTTGTGATACTTTGTCCACTCAGATGATTGGGGTAGTTTACGCATGCTGAATCACGCCATTTCTCGACTGACTACTAAATGAAGTACTGTTTGATTAGAAAAGACTTAAGGGTAATGAAAGCAAATCATGTTGTCGACCAACAAATTCACTGACTGTTGATATGTATCACGTTAGTAGGCGTAGGTTGCCTGATTAAAGTATTCACGAGACTGTGATTCACCGGTTAGACACCCTTTTTGATGTGATGCAAATGTATTCACACCTCATCATTTTCTAAATGTGAAACACTTTCATTATTCGTCAAGATATCATTCTTTCTACTGTTCACATGTGTTCACTGTAACATCACATTTCTGTTTTTCTGTCAAATGTGCATTCTTCAAGTATGGTAGTCTGAATCGATGTTCGTCTATACACAGTCCAATGCTCATTCGATTATCTTTAAGATAACCCCTCTGTATATAGTTGTTTCTTATATGGGCAACCTCTCTGTGAAACTAAGGCTTATTTATTTAAGTATTCCATTTCAATTGTTTTCTGTTACCCAAGTATTACTGATCCATGCACGACATTTGCTTCCATTGTTATATCTGACATATATCTGTATGTATTTCTGATTCTTATAACAGTATCTGACTGTTGTTCTAAGATCTATGCAGATGTGTAGGTTGTTTGGATTACGGTGATTGAGAGCAGTGGTCCGAAACGTTGGGTAATATGGAAGGAAAACGATAGTAGTGACAAGCTAAATTCACTGTTCTTCATCTTCGAAAGCTGTTAATAATCTTGGCTTAGTCACTTTTTCATGTTTCTGTTTATCTCCTCTTCTCTCACTATTATTACATTCATTGACCCTACATATAAAGTATTTTTAAATGTCGTCCCATCATTACAGATAATCTTATTATTGACAATAAAGCGCTTTTAACAAATTAGCCGACTTTGTAAGGAGGATTTTCAGAATACACATATTTCTACTATAATCTCACTTGCCTTTTGTAAATAACAAGTCAGTCTTTTTCCAAACCACATTGTGCAGCAATAAAAGGCATACAGTATTGTTGCCATTATCCCAGGTCATCCATCGGTAAAGTCTATGTGCATTGATCTAGGCTCTCGACTTCCAACCAGTGAGCTAGGGGGTTCGAACACTGCTCCACCTACTGAGGTTTGGACAGCCAGGTGGTGACTGGCCCCTCACACAATAGTTGTGGCTCATTGTCATTTGCATACAGTCTGTCATTTTTAGTATAAAAAGAAACTATAAATCCCACGAAAAATCTGTTAACTACCCTTAATTTCATTTACTAATCTTTGTGTATACTTCTGTAAGACTTGATTTTTCAAATAAGATACAATAGCATTGATAATAAGGCAGCATTTAAGATAAATTCATATTTCTTGCACTTTATTTATTTATTTATTTTATTTCTACAGTTTTCAACATTTAAAAGGCCAGCTTTACCTACCTGGACAGAAAATTCTTTCATTAAGACATCTGAACGTTGTTCTAGATTAGATACTAGCAAAAAGGAGAAAACTAATATCCTCAGAAGTCGTTCCAATGTAAGTTATGAAGGCATTTTCCGGTTCATTTTTGCACTGTTTTGTGACTGAATTAAAAAGTATTTCCCTCACTGAGTACTAACTACACCTTTTTGCACAGGATATCACACAAGAACAAGACAGATTGTAAGAGTAGTAGTGTTGTATTACAATAATACAATTACAATATAATTACAATAATCGAAATTCAGCCCGTCAAATAGGCAGTATTAGTAATAGTTATTGGAGCATTAGAAGTAGTGTACGTAAATCCACCACATAGTAGTTTATATTATTCATTAAGCAAACTCAAACATACGGCATTAACAGATGTACACTTAGACATTGTCAGCTGAATTGGAACAACCAATAGAGATGTAATAATGAATTATTATTTGCTTGGGTGCCTAGTGAAGCACAGGACCTCAACAGCACATATCCATTTCATCATGCTCTCTGCTTTCCCCTTTATCTGGTCCCTTGACTGTCCATAAGCTCTCATTTCCTCCATATCCCGCCCCCCCAGATGCCCAACTCGCTGTTTCCCATTCGCGATATCACTTAACAGCCTCCTCAAAGTGTGTCGCATACATCTCCATTTTCTTCGGCACATTTGTGGGGCTATGGGTTCTTGGTTGGTTGGTCGACTGACGAATTTCCTTGGTGCTAATCCTTTCGATCCGGTCACTGTATTTCCAGTGCGGAGCGGCGGCCTATACCAGACTATTGGGAATGCTTTTGGTGACACGCCAATTCCCTGAAACGTATGGAGGAACTAACTTGTCATTAGCTTTGAAAATCGGAATCTTGTTCTTGAGGCTAAGTGTTGTAGATTTCCAGACAGATTTCACACTAATGAATTAGTAATTTACGTTTCTCACCTATATTTCTAAATTGTTTGATAGCTTGTGTTTCCCGTGACAGTAAGATTATTCCGCAATAGAGGCAGCTTAGCTTATAATCCAACATTTAGTGATTGATGCCGTTCTCTGTGTCAGTATTTGAGTCCCATTTTGCATTATTTCTGTTTTAACAAAAAAATGCTGTAAAATCACTTTTTTCAAAAGCATAGACACAGTGTAGTGGATGTACTTTTCGGAGTATGTGCAACATAAAGTCCTTTTATTTGTTGAATTCTACAGTGAACTTTCTGCATTCGATTAATGCGTATAATCCCGTTTATAAACTTCGAAAGAGCAGGAATAACCATTTGTGCAGTCTGACATAGTGCCATTTTATTTCGTGGGTTGTCTTCAGCTGCGTAAAACTTTTAAGATTTAATACGAGTTATGATAAAAAAAAGTTTTACCATACTTTAATCCGTAGATAGGAATCAGTCTCCCAGTAATGATCAGTGTAATGTCATAGTGAAGTAGGACATAATTGCATGTTATGTTGAAGTGTTCCAAATATGTATATTTTATTAGAGTAAATATTATGCTGGAAAGAAAATCTTGCTGACTGCAGCGAAATGAAAGAGTAAGGTATTACGTAATAAGACGTAACAAAATACAGTGAGTAAAGCTCAAACGGTCAAAAATTGAAGTCCTATCTGAAAACCAAGTGAGAAAACAAAACAAAATTACACAATGAACAATAAGTTAGGAAAAAAGTTACCAGGGTTTTTAAAGTCTAACTACGGATTTCTCTTGGACACTTAAATTAGGTCTTCGGTGTTTTTGTGATAGCCTCAGAAAACCGGAAAAGACTGGCTGTTTTGTCTGTTAATTACTTTGAATGCTCCCAACTCATTTATTTTATGTCCTACGTCTATCAGGTGTTTGATGGTTGACGAATCCAAACTATTTGATACCCCCTGGTAGAGAGCTCTTTGGTGCATGCTCAGAAAATATTGTGTAAACTCTTTTTCCTGTTTTTCTAATGTAATTTCTCCTGCGAATTCACGTGAATTGGTATATACAGTTGTAAGTAACATATGTGAGATACTTTGCGATTTTTAATTATGCTCACGAGTAGGATGTCGAGAGCAGAGAGGGATGTGCTTCGCTGCAATTTATGTCCTGACCAGTTCTGTCCTTGTTTATTTCTTCTTTGTTATACATTTTGAAAAGTAATTATGACCTTTCCCAAACATAAACTTTACTGTAATTTTTCAGTTTACCTCACCTGTATCTGAGATTCGTCACCATCATGTACGCTCATCTATTGAACGTCAAACCAATAAAAATGAGGCAATAAACTTGAACTGTTCTACTGCTTTCTTCATATCTGGGGCATCAGAGGAGAATGTGATCTCTTATCCACAAACTTTGAGTGAATCATTTACTGATCAACAGGAGAAGACATATGATGCTCAGTGTAAGTGTTAGCAAATGACAAATGGTCGCGTTTTAGTTTTTTTTTCTATTGGTGTGAAGATTTAAAGCTTTTTTATGGTCTACCCTCAGAATTTTCATGATATACATCATATGGCTTCACTTTACAACCTCAAAAATATTATTCGATGCCTAACCACCGCCTCCCCCGACGGGCATTACTAGCTGATATAGGTGCAGGTTGGAAAAGAGTAAGTGGTGGCCAAACAAAAACATGGCATCAACCCATGAAATCCTTGACAGTTAAACTGAGTCAGGTAGGGAGATGCAGACTTCCGGGTTGGGGCCCCCGGGACTCTAAGAATCAATGGCTGGAGACAATAGACATGGCTCAAAATCGTTGTCAATGGCTTACGCAGATGTATTCAGTCTCTGTAAACTTGCATATTCCTTTCTACCATTACTCATTCTGTTTCACTCTTATACTTGTCAAAACTCTATTGATCCTCTTCACTCATCTTCTTGTCTACTTTTGTGTTCTATTTGGAACGTGGCAACTCGAACTGCTGCACTTCGGTTCCAAGTTCTATGTTGAATCCAGACAGACAGACAAATTCGATTTATTGTGCTATTAATAATTGATGAATAACTCTTTTGTTTACTAGATCTGTTTGCATTTTATAATGGTTTGCTTCATTATTTCTGATGTAATGCACTTGTTACTATAGTAACAGTTATATAAGCATCCAACAAAGCCACATTCCATTCGTCTTTGTTTGTAATAATGTATTGATGTATTTAGTGACCTAGTCGATATTCGTCCAAAAACTGCTCATTGGTCATTAAATTGACTTTAAAGAACAGTATCAGTTATCTAAAAGCATGACTGAGTTTATCGGTAAAAGTTTTGTCAGCAGAAAACAAGGCTGGTAATCATTTTTCGTCTTTCAACTAATTTTAATCTCCATAAACGATCGGTCGGTCGGTCGGTTTTCGACATAGAACTTCGCACATATGTGCGGCAGTTCAAGTCGCCACACTCCATGTAGCAAACAAAGCAAGAGAAGAAAGTAGGAGAAATGCATAGTATAGACAGTTAACAGAGGTGTGAGACAAAGGAATAGTAATAACGAAGAACAAAACAGTTTCATTGGAAATGATAAGTCACAAGGAGTGGATGCATCTGCACCAGCCATTGAGAACGATTTTGAGCCATGTCACCAATTGTTTCCAACCATTGGTTTTTACCGTCCCGAGGACCCCAACCAGGAAGTCTACACCTTCCTACCTGGCTGGCTGGCTTAAACTAACTGTTGTAGATTTCATTGACTGGTGCCATGTTTTGGTTTGACTGCAGCTAGCTCTTTTGCAGCCTGACCCTATATCAGCTAACGTTGCCCGTCGAGGAAGGCAATGACTAGGCATACGTAATACATGTCCTAACCATCTCAGTCGATGTAGCTTCACAGTCTCGTCTATTGATTTCCCCTCCTTACCTAGCACTCGACGCCTAACCTCAATATTGCTCACCTTATTATACCACTCCATAAACACATCTGAAATGGATATTTTAGCTGTTTTGTTAATCAGATCTATAAAGATGTAACTGTAGAACAATAGAGTATTCGACAACGGATATATATATATATGTATATATGTATATATATATAGGCAAAATACACCCACCATATGTTAGAATCACAATTTGTACATGTCTCCGTATCGTGCTACTTTGTCTTCCTTTGGTATTTCTTATGTTGTCTCACAAGAATCATTCATTCCCTGTCTTCGCCATTAAATCCATCTCTCCGCTATTCGATATCCTTGCAAATCATATACATATTTATATCCGCATGTATCTACTACTTACAAATCTTGTCAGTAGCACACACCATATAGAGAGATAAATAATGAACAGGCCATTAACCATTTTTAAACGAAGTCTATTGTTTATTATGATAAAGGTTTTCTTGTATTTCTCAATGAATGAAAAACAAAGTGATACTGTTTTTACTGACGTTCCTTCAAAACATCAGACACACTGCGAAACAACCTTGTCCATATAAAAGACCAAATCCCTGAAGATTCTCAATCTAATTGTGTTTATAAAATAAACTGCTTGGAATGTGATGCGATATACATCGAACGAACATCTCAAGAAATCAAAATCAGAAGAAATGAACACCGTAGAGCATCTGTTCGACCACCGAGAAATGCAGTTGAACTAGAAAAGCTTGAAAAATCATCAGCCATAGGTCTACACGCTATAGAATCAGGCCAGAAAATTGATTTTAACAATATTGAAATAATCCAGAAAAACTTCAGAAATCACGAAGAACGTCTAGTACCAGAAGCACTTCATATCAATGATGGACTAAAACAGAATTTGACCTGGTTACAACACCTCCCTCCCTCATGAAGTGACAAATTCAACACGAATTTGATAAGCAATTTCATTATGTAAACACACGCTGTTTTTATAATTTTACACACTTATCAAATCCAACAATCTACACCTGGTTTTGTTTTGGCCATCTTGAAAACATTACAAAATTACCCCATACTGATGAACGATGATTAAGTTGTTATGTATAGACTGAGATTTTGTAAATTCTGGTTTAATAATACTTAGATAAAGCTATTAGCACTAAATAGCGAAACGTCAGTAAAACCGACAATATCATTTAGTTATTCATTCATTGGGAAATACAAGAAAACCTTTATTATAATGAATATCATATACTTAATGCCCACATGTTTTCAGACTGTTAAAAGTGAACTTGGTTTGAACATATAAAAGTCTATTATTATCAAAGGAATTTTGAAAAACACGTAAGCATTGTGTCCTCACCTAAGTTAATACATAAATAGCTAGCATAAACTTAAGATCATCCGTTTGTATCACTTCATATTTAACGCAACATAAGGTTCCTAAGTGTTAGTGTTGGAGTTAAGAACTTACAATGTTCCATCATTCTACATATACTTCAGTTATTGCATTACACGGCTTTATTGTGGTAAGTGTGACTTTCAATGAGTTTGATATTTGCTTCACCACCATTGGGGGGGGGGGGTTCTTCACCAGTTACAAATCAAATTCGAATTTCTACTACACGTAATTTCACACTGAACCGATGAGTTTCCCCTGACCTCGAAAGTACTCCACATTAATTTCAATTGTGTGTTTGTTCATGCCAAGAGTTTCTTTCATATTATTTGAGGTTTTACTTTTGTGTTAATATGTAGTGATATTCTAAATGTTATTGTTTTTCTATTATCATCATCATTTGTGAAAAGTGAATGCTGCGAATAACCGACGTCGATCGTGTTCACAACCAGCAATTGTTACTCCTATTAAAGACTTATCGGTATTTGGTCGATTCCATGAAATGAAGGAACTAAGTTCTCCTAGGCGTTCCACATCTATTTCGAACAGATTGTGCTCAGATATGGATTTAACAATGGATACTAATTTTTTAAACTCCACTGCAACTGCCTTTGTTTCACCGAAACTTGTGCGTTCACCTGCTCTCAAAGGAGGTAATTTTATGTGTTCAAATTGTGTTCTCTTTGGAATTCACTATGTATGTATTATCATAAAAACATTTTTTTTAAACTCGACGTACGTCGGTATTTCCATGTTCTCTAGACATACAGGAGGATCGAACTCAACTCCTGACAGATGCACTCCGAAACCTAGCCTAGTTTATCAGCAAGTAGTTGGTGCGGAGAAGATGGAAGGTTGAGTGCTAGGCTTGCGGCTCCAAGCCATAAAAGCAATACTAAAACTTGAAGCCCTGTATTCCACTTGGAGCGCGATGAATGAAAAACCCAGACAAGTGTTCGCAAATGTCTTTTCATGACATAACTTTCCACACAGAATGGCTGCCCGTGTTAAACTAGTTTAAATGCGAAACCCCAGTATATTTGGTGTCAAACACGAACATACGAAGTATCATATGCTAGGAGTAAATCAACTGGACGCTTATGAGTATTGCTTATTTTCGCACCCTTGAAGAAACGCATGTTCTTTGCAAAGTTCAAACTTTTATTTTTGAACGTTAAAGGTAAAAACGAAATCACTAATCTCTTAGTGACTCCCTGTGTGATTGGGGTGAAGGGTAAGTCCACATAAAATGTAACTAGTTGATCTACCGGAAGCCTAGAGATTAACCCCTTAATGTTTCGTACCAATTCACAGTGTTACGTGAATCCGTCCACAATCAAAACTCGATTGATAAGTACCATTCAGCACCAAACTCTTGTAATTTATATCAGTTGATATCGTGTAACTAAGTTGTATACTAGGAGACATGAAGTCTAAGTGAAACTGAAAGATCCCTTATTTGAAATACTCTCTTAAGAATATTTTCTTATTTTATCATAAGACCGAAAATACCCATTGAGTCATAAAGAAGACAAAATACAATTTAGCGAAGAAAATTTTCTTTATCGACAGAGTCATCTTCAAGGACTGTATAGTAGTCGTATTTATATTTACCAAAAACTTGTAATAGCCTATTATTGATTAATAGGGGGAGGGTGTGACAATTGATATAATTACTCAGAAGTGGTTTCTAGAGTAAAATTAAAGAAATACACCGTAGTCAACGATACAATGGATGAAAAGATTTGGAGTTTGATAAAGTTGAAATTGCTATCATAAAGTGCCAGTATAATACTTCGATACCGAAAGACAACTTCTAATATTAAAGAGGAGGAACTACCATATTTGCACTATGTTTTCTCACCTATGCTGAAAGTATAAGTTAGCAACCGACCTGATCTCATTCAGTATGAATGATTATTGTTTCTTGGCTGATTTAAATTGGTCAAAAGTACTACCTGTATTTCTGTTGTAAATGGCCTCAGTTTTAGTACACGTATCCTCTAATTTCAAGTTTAGGTGAAGATAGATATGGTACATTAACCTAATTATTCAGATATATTTATGATCTAGACCCACTAAGAAAAGGAGCATAAATTTGTTCAATAATCTACCACTTGGATAAACTTTACTAGATGCAAACTTGTACTTGAATTTTACGCTTAGGCGCTTTGTTGACGGCCTGATTAAATCACTGGGCTATCAGAATCTCCATACATCAATATGCTTAAACTCTTCTGCATTTCGTATTATTTAAATCGTACAATTATATCAAATGACCACTAAATGAACTCGTGCACATATTTAATTAGCTTCCAACTCAACACTGTGAGATTCTTGTGGGAAATGGAAATAGTATGTATGTATGATTTATGTTTGATGTCACACAAAACCGAAGACTTACAAGCGAAAACCGACAAACTGGTCGAAGAAGCATCAAAGACAGGACTCCAAGTGAACATAGACAAGACAGCGGTTATGAAAATAACCAACCAACAACAGCAACATCCAGCGCCAATCACCATCAACGGCAGGGATTTGAAAGAGGTTAATTCATTCACTTATCTACGGAGCATTGTCTCAACTACAGGAGGAACGGACGAGGATGTCACATCGAGAATCGGGAAGGCGAGAAACACATTCATCAACCTGAAACCAATCTGGAAATCTTCGTCACTCAACATCAACAACAAAATTCTGATTTTCAATACAAACGTCAAGTCAGTTCTTCTATACGGATCAGAAACTTGGCGAGTCACAAAGAATATTTCCAACAGCCTGTTGCAGAACTTTATCAACAACTGTCTTCGTTCTATACTGAAGATTAGATGGGCGGAAAGAATCACCAACAAGAAACTATTGGAACAAACAAAACAAGAACCAGTCGTCCAACAAATATCCAGGAGAAAGTGGAGATGGATTGGACACTCGCTGAGGAGGCCGCTGGGTGACATCGCGCGTGAGGCCAACGCTCGAGTGGAACCTGAAAGGGAAGCGGCGAGTGGGACGTCCAAGGGTGACATGGAGGAGATCGTGTGAAGAGGAACTGAAACGGTATGGATTAACATGGACGCAGGTGAAAAGTACAGCAGAAGACAGAAGCAAGTGGAGGCGTGCAGTTGAAGCCCTATGTTCCACTAAGAACCCAAGGGAACAATAATAATTATAATATGTACAGAAATGATTCTCTCTTCATGTGAAACAAAGCTACTTCACGCGATATACTTCAAATTAGTACTTTACTTGTGAATCCTGTACGAAGACGTAATACTTTGTAACGCTGAAAATTTTTATATTATATGTGTTCACAAATTGTCTGAAATAAAGCCTTATTATTAGTATATGTGTAAAACTTGGGCACTGTGTGCCTTATTATTAGATTATTAAAATTACTTTATGTACTAAATCTGAAAATCAGGTGGTCAGAAAAGATGAGAAATAAGGAACTCTGTCAGACAGTGAACTAACCAAGAATTTATTGCCCAACAAATATGCAGAGGAAAATAGAAGTGAATTGAACACGCAGTGAGGAGACCGTTGAGTGACATCGCATGCGCCACACAGGCCCTCGAGTGAAACCCAAGTGGGAAACGATCAGTTGGGCCTCTGAGAATGACATGGAAAAGATTATGTAAGGGGAAAATGAAAGTTTATGGGCGGTCGTGGAGTCAACTAAAAAGAGACTGCAGAGTACAGAGTAACATGTAAATCTGTTGCTATAGCTCCTTGTTCCAGTCAAAACCCAAGGGAACGATAGTATAATAATCTATTGAATCAGTTTAATTTTATTTGCTGATTGAGGGTTAAAACGGATTGGAGTGCTCCATGCTTTTTCCCGTCACATGGAAAGGAACGAAAAATAACATTCTGGATTTCTTATAACTTAGGAATAATGCTGCAATTCACGATTATTAATTTCATTATTGTCGGTTTGGCCTTTCTTTTTTTAGCTGCCCATTCTGTCACATCTACTACACATAAAAGAGATCAAGGTGGGAATCTGTTCTACTCGAATGTCACTTCTGTTTTGTCTGAAATGAGTGTTTTCGGCTTAACGCAATGGTTAAATGGTATTTTCGCTCCGTGTATCGCAGCCAACAGTTACAACGGACATGTAAGTAGTGGATCCAAAGAGATTTGTGTATTTGGATCACCTCTATATCATTCGACAGTGAAAAAAGCTGTTGAATTATTAAGTTCAACTGCTCTCACAGTCCCTGGAGAGCGCATTGAGCGTGAAATAGACACTGGAAAGTTGATGCCCATTCAAGATACATTACTTCGTGTTGACAAAGGTAAGAATTAATTTTTTCTTCTCAATTGATCGGCGGCCTGCTTAAAAAATCTTGGGCTACCAAAACAAAACCCCCACCATTCTATTACGTCTAATTTCTCGTGTTCACTTCATTCATTTTAATCTATTAAAATGTGTTCTCTTATCGCGCATTGTTTACTCCTGCGAATATTTAAAGTGTCTACAACCTGCTGATTCACAAGTTTCCACTTAACTTAAGAAAGCATAGGATTCTAAGTGGCAACGTGCTTTAAAACGTATCCCGACACACCAAACGACTATTCCTGAGACTGTGAGTACAAACAACCACTCCCTGCCTAATAAAATTAACCACCTGCAATCTCTCCTGTCTTCTATTACATGTAGTAATACAGGGGTGATACCTCTCTGAGAAACTAGGCTCCATCATCTGTATGATGATAATTTTGTCTAAATAGTTACAGATTATTGAGACAAGATCGGTGCAGTTCTAAGAAAAAGTGCAGTGGTGCAGTGAGTCACAACCGTTATCAGTCCTCAGTAGTGCATTCCCAGTATTGTATGCTTTTAATTCTAAGGTGACCAAAATGAACTAAAGTTGAAACTAAGTTAAGTTTTAAATACCTTGGATTATGTCTTTCCTGGTCTTCTTACATCATGTTAATTTCTAGAAAGATATTTCATCTAACCTTATAAGTAAGGAAGTTAGGACCATATAGTAACACTATCTCCACTCTTACAACGTGTTAACTCCTGTACTCCACGTATTATTATTATTATTTATTGCCCCCCTCTCTTACTTTACTTAATAAAGAATTTGTTACGTTGCGAAGAACACCAAAAGCTATCGGTAGGGCGAGTGGTGGGTTGCTTAGCCAACTCATTGTGGAAAGATACTTGAACTCATGCACGAAATTAGTGAGTGTCATTTCGTCGGATTTCGAGCACTCTCGTGGTTACTATTATCATTATTATAACTATTATAGAGCACATTGATCGCTTCACTTACTTGGGAAGTAACATCAGCCCCAACAGGTTGATCTCTGACGAAATCTCAGCACGGATACAGAGGGCTAGTTTCGCATATGCCAATTTACGCCGTCTCTGGCGTAGACGTGATATCCGGCTATCGACAAAAGGGCGAATGTACTGCTCAACAGTCCGCTCCGTCCTCCTTTATGGCTGTGAGACCTGGCCATTGAGAGCAGAAGACATGAAAAGATTAGCTGTCTTTGATCATAGGTGCCTGCGTTCTATCTCCCGCGTGAAGTGGTATAATAAGGTGAGCATTATTGAGGTTAGGCGTCGAGTGCTAGGTAAGAAGGAGGGGAAATCAGTCGACGAGACTGTGAAATTACATCGACTGAGATGGTTAGGACATGTGTTACGTATGTCTGGCCATCACCTTCCTCGACGGGCAGTGTTAGCTGATATAGGGCCAGGCTGGAAAAGAGCTGGCGGCGGTTAAACCAAAACATGGCACCAGTCAATGAAATCCACAACAATTAGTCTAAGTCACGTAGGAAGATGTAGACTTCCTGGTTGGGGTCCTCGGGACGGTAAAATCCAATGGTTGGAAACAATTGGTGACACGGCTCAAAATCGTCCTCAATGGCTGGTGCAGATGCATCCACTCCTTGTGACTCATGATTTCCAATGAAACTGTTTTGTTCTTCGTTATTACTATTCCTTTGTCTCACACGTCTGTTTACTGTCTATATTATGCATTTCTCCTACTTTCTTCTCTTGCTTTGTGTGCTACATGGAGTGTGGTGACTTGAACTGCCGCACATCGGTGCAAAGTTGTATGTCGAAAACAGACAGAGATTATTATTATAATTACTTCTCGTATAACGAATCTTTATTGTTAATTTCTGTCACGTATATGTATTCCTTTTTTTATAAATACAAGGTTCTCAACGTCGGATTCAAGACCTCTTATTGACTAACTGTGCTCCTATATGGCTTCATCTGACAGTCGATTCACTGTCAAGTATTTCATCAGGCAAACCGAATTCTTCGACGAAGTCGAACAACCTTCAGTCTACAGTTATAACAGACACTACCACTGAGACATCTAACGTGGAAGACGATAAAAGTAACAATACCACTAGTTTATCAAAAAAGATACACACTTATTTGTTTGAATCTTTTGTTCCAAATAAATCAGTTTTAATGAAATCAGATTCAAAGGATACAAAATCGAAACAGGCCTTTCAAACTGCTTCAGTCAAAAACGACAAAGCTTCAGCGAAACCAAGTGAGTGTATTGATAAATTCTTTTCTGAAATTAATGTGAATAAAGTAACCTACTATTATTGCCATTCACACAGCTTTATGAGGATTTAGAATTAATAAACTTGGATTTTATTTACGTCAAGTGTTCTCAGTGTATGCGTATCAGTGGTGCTTCATTCAGGAAAAAAGAAGTGTGTGTATATGCGTTTGTTGTTAGTATGCTAGATGTTATTATAGTTTCATTTGTTTTCTCCCAACTGCGAATTATATTTATCTCCATCCTAAAACTTGTGTTATGAAGTTTCTCTAGCGGTTTGATAGGTTAATTGGTGTAGGGTTGCTAGCCCTACTCCCAATCCCCTCTCTTTACCCGGGCTTGGGACCATGAATCCCGACCTCCCTTATGGTTGGCCAGCATTCTGCCATTGACATATAAACTTCTCCATTTCTTCCTGTTCTCTGAATAATTTTTTAGTTGGCTTCACAGTTGCACATAAGCTCTCATATTCTCACACGATCTCCTCCATGTCACCCTGGGATACCCAACTAGACGTTTCCCATTCGAGTCCCACTCGAGGGCCGCTTGTGTGGCATCTGGTATCGCTCAACAGTTTCTTCATTGTATGTCCAATCCAGTTGCCAGCGTGTAGTAAAATTGTCTTTTGTCTCTCTTCGCATTCTTCTTCACTCCTTTTTTTCAGTGCAGTATCGATTATACTCAGCTTCTCTTTTCATTGTTCATCTTTGCACCAACTCATCTGCCTCACCATCCCTCTCCTTTCTATTAACTTTAATGTATCTGTAAAGAACAATTCCTTGTCTTGCTTCTTCTTCTTCCTTCCTAAGACGGTTATACAGGTTTCCTGTAACATAACTTTCAGAGAGTTCCAGTATTCTTCCAAACAAGTCTCCTCGCGGATGCTACATACTGTCTCCTACCTCTCTTTGATGGCTACAGGGAAAGTGCCTTTTGTAGTTCTGTTTCTGGGTGTTTAACTTGAATTCTGATCTGTTCCCGTCTTCTTTGAAAGCTTTCAACTTGACCCTGAAGATCCCTTGAAGTAGATGATGATGATGATCTGAGTTCACATCTGCTCTTCTCGATTTTATGTCTATCAGTAAACGGGTGAACTATTAAGCTCTATATACTATATTTACTTATTATAATCTGTTTATTCCTTACAGATGCACCAAGTCGTGATGTTTTGTTCAACCGTCATGTCGTTAAAAGATTCATTATATTTGTTTGGATTATGGACTATTTTAAAAGTCATATGTTGATTAAATATGATCCCTGCCTATTTCGTGTTAAATCTCATATTAAGGTAAGTTATTTCTCTATTGGCACTCATCTGTCCTTTTACATACAAATAAAGAATTAAATTTGTGTACAGGTGTCTTTTGAATCTTGCTGAGTATTTCGTGATTTTTCTGCTTAAATGCTATCGGTAAATAATACAGATAAATATTTTGATTGGTTACTAGGGTGTAACCAGTGTCATAAGTCTAGTTGTTTGGTGTTGGTGCTCATTGAATTCTACCAGTCAAGTCCCAAATGTGGTCACCCAGTAGGCAACGTGCTATCACAGTGCACTCTGAATCGATGTTAGATGGTTTTAGGCAATCAAGAAGAAACTCTGGACCTATATATCGTACTTTTTGGCACTCGTCAACAAGATGTATCCAATCACCTTACATCAGCTGAGAGTGCACCGCAATATTAAGTAACCTACCTTGGTCAAAGGTCGTAAGCTTGACTAGAATTCAGCTAGAACTAACACCAAATACCAGATGCATAACATTGGTTACTCCCTAGTGTCCAATCAAAATATCCATTACAGTCCTACAGGAGACCAATTGTGAAACCGAATAGCTGAATATTGATGTCTCCGACTGTAACAGTGCCAAAAACGAAAAAAATTTAGATTTAGAGCTTCCATGTGACTGCCTCCAACCATTTGACACAAATAATTTTTACATGAAGGTATAAACATCTACATCAATAGTTGTGAGTTTCTAGGTCCTGATTATTGACATTTTTGTTAGACCTAAAGCTAGTACCATATCGCTTTAATTGAAACCAGTTGTTTCATGTTTACTGAAACAGTTTTGTCCATATAAACATATACTGTTTCCATTCAGCTTAAAGTATATGCACTTTGTTTCAGTTGGTTTTGTGTTTCCCGTTGACTGATAATGTTGGAGCCCCAAATGTCCCGTCTCTTTAGATATGTCCTTTGATGATGTCTGAGGATTAACATGATGTTATTTGCTGGATGGTGACTAGCAGTGGAGTCCAGAATGCGCATTTCATCCTGGATGTACCTGCAATCCTCAGTAAGTGATTTTCTTACTGAGACTTGAACCCTATACCCATCGCTCCAAAAACGCCAAGGCGTTTATGTGCGCATTGCGTTTGGGATATAGTTTGTTCCTCTGAAGCCAGTACTTATTGATCCCTTTGTCTCTTTTCTCCATCTCATTTCAGTCCACTTCATCGCTGCTTATGCAGTTTGCACAGTATTTTTTGTACGGTGTGAATAATCTGGTTCGTCAGATATCCTACTTAGGAGCAGAAGTCAAAGTGAATCAAACACAACTAGATGAGTATCAATTTAACGTTGAAAATTTGGCTGTTGACCTAAGAGATGGTGTTCGTTTAGTGTAAGTTGCCGTTGTATATGACTAACTAATATAATGTATCCATTTTGATTTTTAATTATTGTTTTCTGATCTCAATCAATGCATCATGACATATGAGTTATGGTTAACAAAAATCAGCCTTACACAACAAACGCAAGTTGATGATTTACAATTTTTCAAAAGACTGGATACTGAACAAAGAATACTCTTTTCGATAACTTCATCATCAGGCTCTACAGTTATACATACATTATAGTGAATGAGTGAATGAATTAGTGTTATGAACAACATTAATGCTGTTTAAATAACATCGAATCAATAATATTGATAGATATAAGTATAAAACTTGGGCACTGTGGCAGAGTGTAACTCCATTGTGGATAAGATTTTATTTTGATAAATCACACAGTGTTACACAGTAATATTAACTGATGACGTTTCGAGCACAAATTATTGCTCATAATCATATCAAGTTACTCACAACTTTTTCCTTCATTTATATAAATGTATGGAATTGACTAGATATTTGAATAAAAGTCAGAATGGGATAATGTACATTCATAGATAATAATATGAGTGTTATTGATCAAATACAATAAGATGGGACAGCTCAGTAGCATCAACATAAAAGTAAGTTGAATGTCAGAAAAATTAGGAAAGATAATATTACAAATTCATGAATTTATAGTCTCTACTGAAGGTCAGGGCAGTAGTTGGGGCTGTACTTGCTTCTTTTGAACACAGCACTGGTTGTTTGAGGCGAATTGCAATAGCCTCTGCTGTTTGGAGCATGCGGTGCTTCGATGATTTTGGCAACTTATTAGGCACCCGGTAGATTATAGAGAAGGATTCTTCCACGCTGGCTTTGTGGCCGGTTCAAGGTGAAATTTCACTGCAATCTCCTTTGGAAACCGAAATTGTTTATATCATCACAACATCTGATATGCTTGGTGCCATAAAAGTGGTAATCAAGGAAGTAAACAAGACTGCATGATGATATATACTTTTGTTTTGTACTGATACTGTTCATATGATTAGTTGGATATTACTCATATCAACTCTCAGGAAGAATGCTGAAGGTTCATATGGTCCTTGCCAACTTACGTTACTTCTGCTTTTCGATCAACGGATGCATGTACTTCGCAGCTTTTCACTCTGTCCTTCTTTATGTTTGTGAGATATGATCATTGAAAGTGGAAGACCTGAAGAAGTTAGCTGTCTTTGAATGTAGGTATTTGGCTTCTGTCTTCCGTCTTAAGGGTTATAATATGGTGATTAATATTGAGGTTAGGTGTAGAGTGTTACGCAAAGAGGATAAGTCACTCGATTTGGTTGTGGAGCTATATACATTGATATACTTAAGACACTTGGCATGCATACCAAGACATTGTCATTTTCATCGCGCAATGTCAGATGACATAGGATTGGATTGGAAAAACGTTAGGGGTGATCAGACCAAAACCTGGTATTAATACGTAAAGTTTTTAACTGTTAGCTTAGGCCAACCACATGGGAAGGTGTAGACTATCATCTGGTTGGGGTCCTTGAGACGCGAAAAACTAGTGACAGGAGACTGTTGGTGAAATACCTCGAAATCGTCCTCAGTGGCGTAGATGTATTACCTCTAGAATCTCCCAGATCCATTTAACCCTCATGTACTTCTATGTTACTATTCTTTCTCCAGCATATTTCTGTTCATTATTTTTTTTCCTTCACGTTCCCCAGTGGAACATAAGGCTTCAAGCTAGTGGCTTGAAGTTTCTGTAGCAGTGTTTAGTTTACAGGATGGGGTTGCTAGCGTCATGCCCAACCTTTCCTCTTCACCAGTATTATTTCTGGCTTAGCGAGGTAAAGGAGTGCGTCGGTCGGCGATCGAACCCCGGACCATGTACATGGTTAGCGAGCATCCTAACCGCTATGCCACCGATGCTCTGTTCATTATAGTTGTTTTGAATATTTTTTCTCTCCTTTTGTCTACCTTTGTGTGTGCTACATAAAGTGTGGAAATATGAACTGGTACACTTCTGTACAAAATTCTTCGTTGAAACTCAGTCAGATATATTAGCGTTATTGTGATTCTCACTTAGATTTTACAATTTGTTACTTCTTTAGAAAGCTTGCAGAACTGTTGATTCCTACACTATCACCTGCTATGTCTATTCAGAAGCAACCTACTATTGTTGTTGAACCTGGTAGTCTTATGTCAATGGTTCGATTCCCTGCTATAAGTCGTCTTCAGAAAATACACAATGTTGGACTTGCTCTTAAAGCTTTTCAACAGTATGGTGAGATCTCAATGGTTGATGGTGAGTTGTTGGGGTTACTTTTTATTAAAACTGCAATTTTTCTTGACTTTTTTTATGGATTTGTCCAATTTAATTTGTTATTTCAAGTCCTGTAGATTCCACCTTGTGTTCAACGCCTTATTATTTCACAGAAGTAAAGTAAATTGAAATTAGTAATGTCTTACCTTCGGTTTTTTCTTTCCTGATCTACCAGATCAGTTGACTAACATAATGTTCTCATTTTTAAATACTGACATCTGTTGGTGAAGAGTTTTAGGTATATTACTGGCTATAAATACTGGTCTCAGATGTGATTGTGTTATCTGAGCTGGGTGGTTTAATCACGAAGCTTTAGTAGTCTTTTTAGATATCTTCAGCGCTAGTTACAGTATAAAGTGGACGTATTCGAATTCTTCATGATTAATACAATTGTCTTTCTTGACGATCTTGGTTGCAACTGGTCTTTAATTTGCACTAATGCTGGTCATTTTATTGACTTGAAATTTGACCTTTCTATCGAGTGATTTACTGTTGATTGGTTCATAAATTCGATCTATGCTAATATGGCTGTTGATCCCTGATTCGTCTGAATGTCAGGCTTGTATGAGTTCCCTTGCATTTTCGATGTTTCCACTGTCTAAAATTTCTACATTTTCCCAGTCGAACTGTGTCCATAGTTATCCACATGAATATATATGAAGGGATACATGTCGTATCTTTTGACGGGTAGCTTATATTCTCGAACTGTGTGCCTCCTTTAATAAATATAGGGCTTTTCAAAATTCATTCAATTTTCTTTGTAAATGGTGCTATTGGTTGTTTTAGTCTGCACTATTATTGATTGAAGCGATTGTTTTGATTTGTGTGCGATATCTATTCCAAATGGTCTTCTTAGTATTCCAGCGGTTATTTCAGAAATATTCTTTAAATATATATAGTAGGATGAATTTCCTTGTGATTTCTGAGGATCGTTTCTTGCTGGTATTTGATTCCAGTTTAAACACTTTTTGATGGAATTGTTAGGGTATCCATTTTCTTTGAACACAATTAATAGGTGTTTCTCTTCTCTTCTCCTCAGGACTGGGGGGACTGCAGTGTATTTTTTAGCTCTTTTGAATAGTGTTCGTACACAGTTTCCTTTGTGTACTGTTGAATTATCGTTGTTTTAGTTAAGTGTTTGGTCTGTGTGGGTTGACTTCTTGGATAAAAGGTGATCAGTTATGAAAAATGATGTGTCTGCTTGGACTCAGTTCCCGGTACAGATCTTTAATTAACGTTCCAGGTTAATAGTCACACTTGTTTTGTGACGGTTGATAATACTATACAGTTTCTCAGGCTGAAGTGGTACGGGGCTCGAACGTGAGATCCAGTGGCTGAAAGTCGAGGGCTTAAACCATTAAGCCAACATCGGTGCAGTTGCTATTGTATGCTCTGTTGATTAGCTTCAATTCACTTACTCTCCGATAGTTCATTAGTTGAATGGCAATCATATGAACCATTCGCTTTGGTTCATTGCCAGTGCAATTAAACAAATACATGCAATATGCTTATTATTTGGTGTTCAAGACACCTTTTAAAATTATATTTTAACGTTTATTCTGAAAAATATGTTTATAGGAAGTTTAATTGATCCTCGTGATATTGTTGATGGACATCGGGAAAAAACATTGACCTTACTTTGGTGTATATTGCTGCGTTATCAAGTCCTCGCTCTACTTGATCATTCTGCTCTCGAAAATGAAATTCAAGTTCTTGAAATCAAAGTCAACTCTCTTGGCAAAAATATTGATGAAGTGAATAACTTTAAACCTAACACTGTTGCAAATAGTCCAGATGAAGATAAATGGGATGCTGCCCATTTCAAATTACTGCATTGGGCTTATTTAGTTTGCCAGCTGTATGATGTAACTGTAAGTTTTCTGTTATTTGATAGCTTTTTTTTAATTATTGCAAATATGTCCTGGAGTAGAGTGTCACTGAAGAAGAAAAAGAAGGGGAGATTTTCGAATACGGGATACAGTTTCCTGAGGTTCTAGTATGAAGTCATGAACAGTGGAGTAGTCCACCATGTTGGGTGTGAGGATAAATACTCATTGAGGACTTTGACTGACATATGTACTACGTGTCGTGCGAGTTGACGGAAGTTAGAATTCATAGACCATTACACTCCGCTTTTCAATGGTCAACGGATTTACCTCGTAACCTAAAGGTTTTAGATTTGATCCTCGATGAGGAGATAGGTGCACACCACTGATTGGAAGTCGAGCGCTTAGACCACTGAGTCACAACTGTACTTGATTCGCTGACTGTCCCTCTATGAACATCTTATTGCACCTAACCATATTTACATTGTGTACTTGATGAATGTATTATTTATTATATTTAATCCAGTATAATTCAATATAATTTCTTTTTTATGCAAATTGAGTGTGTTAGAGATGTACGTGTTCACGGAGTCTTTAATTAAAATAAAACATAGATAGCCGTCTCTTGTGCAAATGTTGAAAAACTAAATTAACAGTTACTTTGTAAATATCATGTAAACACCTGCAGATTGTGGGTAATGAAATGAAACTACACAGCATCAGTCTCTGTCTAAATAGCCTGGTGGTAAAGTCACTAACTTCTGCACGGATTGTTCAAATCGCATTTGGGAGGGGGGAATATGAATGTTCTCGTCTTTACAAATAGGCTTCCAATGAACATAGAACCTTGATTCAGGGCTTCCAGTTGACTCACTCTTACTCAGTATTACAGAAAAGCGTATCATAGTGTGTAATATTGTTTTGTTACTTAGCTAACCGACCATATTGCACACCTAGCCTACAATTTCTTGTCAACACTCCTAGGACTGACTGGATAGCTACATCTGTAGACTGGTTTGTCAAATTCGCTTTTTCAGAGTAAAGGCTAACTTTTATATACATACGTCGATCTAAATGCCTGCTTTGCACAGTTGCTCATGTTTTCAGTTCGATACATTTACTTATATTATGAAGCATCCTTTACATTTCAGCTCTACAATGACTCTGTATTTTAGAGTATTTAAATTTGTGGTAATAAATGTGAATATATACTTCACTTAGTGTGTAAAGTCATCATTCTTTCGCTGTTAGCGTTTCAGTCCTAATTGTTTCATGAACACCCCGGTATAGCAATAAATTAAAAAGCGATTAAAGATACTCATTAGTTGCAAAAGACAGATATTACTGAACATAGAATATTCTTTTCGATAACTTCTTCATCAGGTTCTACAGTTATGTATCCATAACAATGAAAGAAATTATTGTTATTAAATGATTAAGTAAGTTCCGTAGGTTACAGATCCAAGCCATCAGTAACTGACAATATACATAAATGTAACACTGGACTGAATATCAGATAAATTAGGAAAAATAATATGGAATTTAAGGATGTTTATCTTTCACAGCAGGTGGTCAGTGTAGCAATAGTGGCTGGGCATGTTTCTTTTGTACGCAGTGTTCCGGTTGCTTTAAACGAATTGCAATGATTTTTCCCCTTTTGGGGTATTCGGTATCTATAGTGGTATTTGACAAATCATTTGGCACCCGATAGATGATAGAAAAAGATTCATTAATGCTACCCTTATGGTCTGTTTAGACCAGATCTTATTGGCTTTATCATGTGACTGTTTCTTATATTGATGATCAGTTTATTTCTGATTATTATTTCACAAATTTCATATGGCTTGTCTACAACTGATCACTGTTTTAATTTTTATCACATTCAATTTTCTAGATTACCAGTTTGGATGAATCGTTTGCTGATGGAAGAGCATTATGCTATCTACTGCATCACTACTTACCAACGATCCTACCTCAAGGTTTAATTCGTCAGTTTACAACACAGTCGGCCAATTCGTCTATTCCCATTCCAAATTCTATACTTATACGGAATAATTTATTTAATTTATCATTGTTTCAAAGGAAAGTATGTTAGACCATTTTTCTTTGAGTTTCACTAATTGTTGTCCTTCAAATGCCTCCCAATGATTATCAATTAATTGAATTAATTAATTATTCCTTCACGTTCCCAGTGGAACATAGGGCTTCAAGCTAGAGGCTTGAAGTTTCTGTAGCAGTGTTTATTTTTACAGGATGGGGTTGCTATCCTCATGCCCAACCTTCCCTCTTTACCAACTTTATTACTGGCTTAGAGAGGTAAAGGAGTGCGTCGGTGGCCGGGGATCGAACCTCGGACCATGTGCATGGTCGGCCAGCGTCCTAACCGCTGTGCCATCGACGCTAATGATTATCAATAAGTTATGAAAATTTACCCTCGATTTTGATTTCAGATCAGAGTCTTTTAGTGCTGTATATTTTGTGAAAATGGTTTTAGAATATCACTTTTTCATAGCCCAAGTGAACATATATTTGGACGTCGACTAGAAGTGGAAACGACTTTAGAATATTATCAAAAGAAATGTAATCTGGGTTTTAAGAATATTATTTATATTGTTATTGTCCTTATTATCCCTTAGAGTTCCGCGTGGAATATGGGGCTTCATCAGCGAATTGCCATTTCACTCTGTTCCCCGCCTGAGGTCCTCTTTAGGTAGTCCCTTGACTGCTCATAATCTCTGATCTCCTCCATGTCACGCTCGGACGCCCCACTCGTCGTTTCGTATCCGGGTCCCACTCGAGCAGTGGCCCGGTGTGTGATGTCATTCGACCGTCTCTTCAGCGTGTGCCCAATTCATCTCCATTTTCTTAGGCATATGTGTTGGTCAACAGGGTCTTGGTCAGTTGATTGCTAGGGTTCCTCGTTACCTATCTTTTCAGCTGGCCATCTGGTCTTCAGCATATGGAGCTAAGGCAGCCGTTAATGAAAGTCTATATCAACCCACTGAAAATCCTCTGGGTAGCGTGCCATATCTGTGAACTAAATATAAGCACTGGGTTGAGACTAGTGTTAAAAATCTGAATCTTGTTCATAGTGCTGACTGCTGGAAATTTCCACTCTGACTTCGAACACATGAGGTTCTGTATTACTTTTCCGATCCTGCCTGACTTCGACATTCTCATCTATGCCGCGGATTTTAAGATTTTAAGCATCACACTTGCGCAGTCTATCTGTGGAAATTTTGCCAGGTTCTCTTGGTGTTATAAGATGTACATATTTCAACAATATTAATCGTTTATATATCTGTGGAAACTTTACAATTCCATACTGAAAAGTGATGGATATGAAAGCTCAGTAAAGTATTCAACCAGATAATACACAACTCTGCTCATGAATTAGAAAGTTTAATTTGTTAAACTCTGATTACTTCTGGGTTTGGAAGCAAAAAACGTAGCATTGGTCGGTGATTTGACCGCAGAATGCTCGCCAACCACTCATGTTGTCTCGGTTCGATTCCCAGACGAAGCAATCCTTTACCTCACGTAACCGGTAGGGAAAAGAAGCTGAGTGTAAGGTTAGCTACCCTTACCCTTAAGGAAAAACAATACCACCGCTATTGGAACTTCAAAACTCGAAGTTGAAGCCACGTATTCCATCTGGAACGCAAAAGAATAAAACAAGATATTCTGCAAATCATGGTGAACTCTATGGTTTAGGTAACACTGTTTCAGTCGTAGGTGACTATACGCCTTTGAGAAGGCACAGAACTCAATTGTTTCATTTGTGGATCATTTTGTTCCTGTTAAAGCGTGGATAATACTTTACACAGATGTATATGCATATATACTACAATGTTTCGTCTACTAGATTAATATCAAACTGTTGTTTCCCCTTTACCTCTAGCTTGCAGTATTAGGTGATGTACCACTTCTTTTGACCAATAACGCAACGAATCCAACTCCATTATTGACCAGTACAGATAGTATTCTACCACCAGGATTGGTATTGACAACTTTAGCCTATCTTGTGAATAGATTAGTCGTTGGTCCTGAAGAGAAACATAAGCTACATCTACTTATTCGTGATAATGCTGCATGCATTATTCAAAATGCATGGCGTCGTTTTCAAGATCATATGAAATTCTCACAATTTAAATTGGTACCTTATGGAAGGTAGGTTTGCAATGTGATGTTTAAGATAATTTATTGTTAATTCTTTTTACTCTGATATTGTCCCATTGTACCAGTGTTCTAAAAAGTAAACTGTTTTGATAGATGTTAATTGTATTTTTTGTAATAGCTACACCTGCGTTCTGAATTAGATTATTGTAAGATTGGAAAGCAACATGGAAAAGTCTATTTTGCATTCGATCCGTCTGTTAGTTGGATTATTTGCGCAATGCAGTTATGATTTCTTATATCTAACCAACTGTTTAAATGTACTAACGCCTGTCTTGACGAACAATGGCTATAAGCTTGGGAAAGAGTTTAGACAGGTGGTTAGCCGGAAACATGACATCTATTCATGAGGTCGTTAGTTATTATCTTGATTTGGCTGCGTTCCCTTAGCTGGGTGATGTAATTGTGTAGCATCTAATAGAGAAAACGGAGGTGATGAAGATTCCTGGGCAACACCACCAACAGCAACAACAGACAACAATCAGCATAAATGGAAGAAACCTGAAAGAAACAACCTCTTTTACCTACCTGGGAAGCATCGTCTCAACTACAGGCGGAACTGACAAGGATATCAAAGCAAGAATCGGAAAAGCAAGACAAGCTTTCACTACTCTCAAGTCTGTGTGGAGATCAACAGCACTCAGCATCAAAAATAAGATCCGGATTTTCAACTCCAATGTGAAGTCAGTGCTACTCAGTATACGGATCAGAGACTTGCACCGCGCGTCATAAAGAGCATCTCAAACAAACTACAGACCTTCATTGACACTTGTCTTCGCTCAGTACTCAAGATCAGATGACCAGAAAAGATCAGCAACAGAGATGGATCTCTGGCAATGAGCGAACCAACCCAGCAGGAACCGATTGTGAAACAAATAGGCAGGAAGAAATGGAGATGGATTGGCCATACTCTGAGGAAACCATCAAGTGACATCACTAGACAAGCCATCACTCGAGTGGAACCCGAAAGGGAAGCGGCGAGTTGGTCGTCAGTGCAATGATGACTTGGAGGAGGTCATGTGAAGAGGAGATGAAAACGTGTGGGCAGACATGGAGCCAGGTGAAGACTCCAGCAGAGAACCGAACGCAATGGAGACGCACAGCTGAAGCCCTATGTTCCTCTAGGAATTAAAGGAAACAATAATGATAATATCCTTCTAAACAGTATCTCCAGCGCCAGCTTTGACATGAAGTGAACTTATTTGAATCATAGATGAACGTCATAATTGTGTCTCCTAGCTCAGAGAACCCAGCCACATCGAAATCATCCAATTAAGCTACAAACTTCTATTATTTCGTTAATTATTATTTTGAACAGTGTAAAGAGAGTTCTGGAACCAATCGTTGAAGACTCCCCGACATCCTGATATCGGTCATCAATCTCGCAGATGTATCCTTTGGTTGTCATCCTCGAGATTCTGAAAATCCTAACTAATCCCCACTTATTCTTTTTTCTCTTCGACACATCGTCGTCCTTCGTGGTTTGGTTGCATTTTAATGTGGCGCTTCCTTAAGGAATGCAGCTTGAACTGATGCACTTCTGTGCAAAGTTCTGCGCTATTTCGCCATTCAGTACTACATATAATCGAAATTGCTCAGTAGTATCTTAATGTAGTAGTATGCGTGGATATAATGAAGGTCATCATTCAGCAGTAAGTGTTGTTATCTGTAAACAGTAAGCAGCTTTCGAGTGACTTATCAGTTGTTTACTAATCACTTGCTATTATTAATCATGATAGAACAATTGAAGACGTGGCCGGAATATAATTGTGTGATCAATGATAGTTCTGTTAGTGCTTCATAACTCTATTTTATGATCCAAGCAATTGTATGCCTTAGCTGCTTAATCAGATTTAGCTCACAATCATGCTAACAGATACCATTATCAATATATGTGTAAAACTTGGGCACTATGGTAGTAAGTAATTCCATATTACTTGCTACAGGATAGAGTTTCCTGGAGTTCTAGTGAGAAGTCGTGACCAGTGAGGTCCAACCAGTCAAGTGTGAGGATGGATTTCCCACTGATGACATTGGTTGGTGGTCGCGCTAAATCACGAATTGGTAGAAGTTAGAATTCAAGGGGCCATCGAATCGGGTCCCAGTGGCTGAATGGTATACGAGCTTGCCTTGTAACCTGAAGGTCCTGGGTTTGAACCCCATTGGGTGCGTGACTTCCAAACTAGGATGAAACAGCCATCCATTACTCCCTGGTGGTTTCAATGAATCTCTAACTGATATCAATCCGCGATCAACTCGTAAAAACAAATCTAATCCTTACAAACCAACCCTTGAAAATTCCATATTAGTTTGTTTATTAGATGTATCACACAGTGAAACAGTATTATATACTGGATGACGTTTCAAACACAATTTATTATTCATAATCACATCATCAGTTAAAATCACACGATTTCGAAACTTGAGTTTTATAGCTTTCTTTGTTTTCTCCAATTTGTCGTAGGGGGAATAGAATTTTCCAGATATCGGGGACAGGTGATGAATCATTCCTATTACATGTATTTGCAGTTGATTCGATAAACAAAGCTTCTGTTATCAATCTCTCCCTATACCCTGTGACATTAGATTTTAAAACTGTCATCCTATCCCATCCTATTGTATGGTTGTGTGCAATTGCATGTAGTGAGTGCTATAGCTGAACTATTCTCTAGATTTCTTATCTTATTCGGGTCAACTAATCTAGATTTCGGTAGGTTTTTATGCTCCGCTAGTCTGACTGCACCTGTGTATTTGACCTAAAAATCATCACAGACAGGGTATTAGATAAACTGAACTGTTTTGTCTTATTGCTCCCACAAGATCCTTTAACCGACAAAGCTTGCTTCTAATTGAGTTTGTGGTTGGTTTGAATGACACTTCTATTTATTTTATTTTGTTCGAAACGTCATCCAGTAAATAATACTCTTTCACTGTGTGATATATCTAATAAACAAGCTAATATGGAAGATGCCATTATCCTTATCCGCTGACACAATCCTGTTAGGGATAATAAAAGTGAAAACTTGTAAACTTAGCTTGACGTGACGTATATCCTTCGTTCTGATGATTTTGTCATTCTCTTTCTTCATATCTTCATAATAATCTCGTGTAAGATTTGTGTAGTGCATTTACTGGTTTCAGGGTGATGTTAGAATCGTTATGATAGTCAAACAAACTTCTTCGTTTCGTCCTACTGTCACACTGATATCTTCCAAGGTGTTTCTAAAGCGAAATCTGTTGTTGTTGTTGTTAGGTTGTTAGAACACAATAACTGGAACAGAATTTTAGTCTACCATGTTATATGCCATACTTTTTGTATGAGGACAAATGATACTTTTCGGTTGTCTGGGCGAAATACTGAATCTTGTTGACTTGAAGTCGAATGCTCAAACCATTAGCTTAGTAGTTTAGTGGGATAGCGCTTTTGTTTTTGATAAGATGGGTTCTAAGTTTGACTTGAGAAACCATTAGTTATTAGGGAGGCAAGCACATCAAACTGACAGGAAATGCACCTCCCGGATTCCACTATTGGCCGTCACCAGCCAGCGTGAATTACTGCTTCTGTTGTTGTTGTTTTTTTCTCATGTTAGCGCAAATACATCAATTAACTTTTTTCTTGGTGAGGAATATGACCTGAAATCGAAAGAGATTGGGGAATTAAGCAGAATCAAAGTGCCACTGGATTTTGAGTTGCTTTGTGAATCAGTCGTTTCAGTTTATGCTTAACTTGCTTATTAAATGTGGAGTGATTGTGAAAAGATTCGATAATGTTTTATATTATCATTTCCGTCTATTATTCTATTTCTCAAAACGGCCTATTTTAATTTCATTTTGTTTGAACTCTGTTTTTTTCTCTCAGAGAATGGAGGATGCAGAGAAGAATGACTAGAGTAAGTTAAATCTATCTGCATTTATTTTTTTTTAAATAGTCTTTTTGATAAATATTTCCCAATGGTTATTATTGATTTTCAGGACAAGAAGCGTGTTTTGTGTTCACACTATTCGGATTCAGCTCATTAGAATTTGTGTGTTTTTATATTTTCAGGTTTTCATGTGAACAATATAGTCTTAACTATAATCACCTCTACACATGCTCCACTTAAAGCGCCAGTACTGTTGCATCATAATTTTATTGTTCACTTTAACACCCCAACTTGTCTAGCCTCTTTAAGAAGTGATGCATGTTATATGAAAATTTTCCTCATGCTGATAAGATGCATCATACATTACAAATTCCTTCCCAATGATAACGCATCATACATTAGGCAATGATTGACGGTGAAACAAAGATATGGACCTTCGGTAGAGTATTCAAATCAGGGACCATTGAATTGCTAGTCTAGTTTACGAAATCCAGTCTTTAACTATACTTTCAGTTATCACCCGTTACATTAGTAGCAGTCTTCTATGTCTAGATCACTCCAGATAGTCTCATCATGGATGGCACGTCGTGATGCTTTAATTGCAGTCATTTCACGTGATGTGATATTATTATTCCATTGGGTTCCTCCCACTGGGACATAGGCCTTCTTCTGCACATTTCCATTTCATCCTTTCTCTCTGCTGTTTTCGTTAGCTGTCTCCACAATCGCCCATAAGATTTCATTCCTTCTTTACACTATTTCCTACATTTCACCGTTGAATGACCAACTAGTCGTTTCCCATTCAAGGTTCTACTCTACAGTTTGTCTGGTATGTGATGCTACTCAACGGCCAACTTGGCGTGTGTCCGATGCATCTCCATTTCTTCCGGAATATTTGTTGGTCAGTAGGTTTATTGCCTGTAAGATTTCCTTGTTTCTAGTCTAATCCTTTCTGGCCAGCCACCAGCCAGTATGAAGCGAAAGCAGGTTTTGATAGAATTTTACAGTAGCCTGTTTGGAATGCTTTGGGTGGATCATGCTCCAGGTGCTTGAACCATATAAAAGCACTGAATTGACATTAGTGTTGAAAATTAGAGTCTTTTTTCTTATGCTGAGTGCAGTAGACGTCTTGCCTTTTTGATCCTGGTTGGCTTTGTTATCCTTATCTGTGCCAGCAGTAGTTGAACCGGTGCTACCTTTAGGTGTGATATTTATATTATTATTTGTTATTCCCTTTCGAGGGCCTGACGCGCGATGTCACCCAGCGGCCTCCTCAGCGAGTGTCCAATCCATCTCCACTTTCTCCTGCATATTTGTTGGGCGATTGGTTCTTGTTTTGTTTGTTCCCATAGCTTCTTGTTGGTGATTCTTTCCGGCCATCTGATCTTCAGTATAGAGCGAAGACAGTTGTTGATAAAGGTCTGCAACCTGTTGAAAATATTCTTTGTGACTCTCAAAGTTCCTGATCCGTATAGAAGAACTGACTGACTTGACGTTTGTATTGAAAATCCGAATTTTGTTGTTGATGCAGGCTGAGTGACGAAGATTTCCAGATTAGTTTCAGGTTGATGAATGTGTTTCTCGCCTTCCCGATTCTCGATTTGACATCCTCGTCCGTTCCTCCTGTAGTTGAGACAATGCTCCCTAGATAAATGAATGAAGTAACCTCTTTCAAATCCCTTCCGTTGATGGTGATTGGCGCTGTATGTTATATCATACTCCATTATTATCGCTTTGATAGCATGGTTTTATGTAAATATTTTTGACCCTAACGGTGGTGCTAGGTAACTTTCAACGTTAAAATTCTACGAATGATCCAAGATCTTTCGGGCGGTTGAGTGACTATTCGTGACTATTAACATCACTTGTGGGGTTACCCAAGGCTAGATTGATAACTGTGACGTATTATATTGTTAGATTATGAAAAGTGTTTCATCATTCCACCACGTATTGTAATAGTCTTTATCTGTTCAAACAATCTGTGGAAAATGTTCTTTATTTTTCAGGCATGCATTAAGATTCAAGCTTATGTACGTGGATATCTTGTGCGTAAATATGTTGCAGAGATTCGATTGGCTAGAAATACTGCTGCAACTGTAATACAGTCTTATGTTCGTCGATACTTGGCACAATGCTATATTAAGCGTTTACATAAATCAGCTACCTTAATTCAGTCTACCTGGCGTGGATATGTGGTACAACGAAGTTACACATCAATAAGAACGGTAATTCACTTTACGTTTTTTTCTGTTTCCTGAACGTTGTCATTAACTTTGTTTTTTGGGCGTTTTTAATCATTTCAACAGTATTTGTTTCCTTGTAATATAAAAGTAATATACTGTGTGTTGTTATTGTTTTGTGTTCCTACTATTAATCTATTTCACGCATAACACAAACTCCATTTAGTATAATCGTTAGTAGTTATAGGTCGTGAGACAATAACCTAACACTATAAGGACTTAAAATCCACAGGAGAAACTTGAACTGCCTTCAGTTAAATGATCACATGACCACTCGAAACAACAGACATATCGAAACACAACATAGTTATCATTCAGTTTATATTATTATCACTCAGCACTTCTTTGCTTGTCTCTAATAATCCCAAGTTAATAGCTGGCTCTTGATCAAAGAACGTGTGTATTGCACAGCAGTTCACTCTACCCTACTTAATACATAAACGATGTGACCATTGAAAGTGAAAGATATGAAAAGGCTAGCTTTCTATCTCCTGTGTTAAACAGGAGATAGGCGTCGAGTGCTAGGTAAGGAGGGGAAATCAATAGACGAGACTGTGAAACTACATCGACTGAGATAGTTAGGACATGTTCTACGTATGCCTAGTCATCGCCTTCCTCGACGGTGAATGTTAGTTGATATAGGGCCAGGCTGGAAAAGAGCTAGCGGCGGTCAAACCAAAACATGGCACCAGTCAATGAAATCTACAACAGTTAGTCTAAGCCACGTAGGAAGGTGTAGACTTCCTGGTTGGGTTTCTCGGGACGGTAAAAACCAATGGTTGGAAACAATTGGTGACATGGCTCAAAATCGTTCTCAATGGCTGGCGCAGATGCATCCACTCCTTGTGACTTATGATTTCCAATGAAACTGTTTTGTTCTTCGTTATTACTATTCCTTTGTCTCACACCTCTGTTAACTGTCTCTAATACGCATTACTCCTACTTTCTTCTCTTGCTTTGTGTGCTATAAGGAGGGAGTGTGGCGACTTGAACTGCCGCACATATGTGCAAAGTTCTATGTCGAAAACCCACCACCACCTGTGCTAAGCAGCACAATATAATGAGTAAAATTGAGGCTAGGCGTAGAGTGTATTAGGTAAAGAATGCATTCCAGTCGATGAGGTTGTGAAGCTTCATCAAATGAGATGGTCAGGAAACGTGTTGCGCATTCTGAGCCACTGCCTTCCTCAACGATCGATATCATCTGATAAAGCGTTTGGTTAAAAAAGAGTTTACGGTGGTCAAAACCAAAACTTGTCATCGATCAATGAAATCTTTGACAGTTGTTTTGAAGTCAGATATTTAGGGAGGTGTAGACTGCCCCAGTGGGGCCCTCAGGATTCTGAAAACCAATGAATGAAGACTATTGCAATATTAAGTAATTGAACATTAAAGCTACAACTTGATCTACTACACTTTTTAACAGAGTTCTATGTTTAGACTCACACAGTCAGAATATTCCCAAGGCTAATGAATAGTATTCATAATGAAAGTAACTATTTGGGCGTACTATAAACGTGTTCAAATCCGCTAAGGTTGTTATTTCATGATGACTTATTTTATGCTCGGATTTCCATCATATTTCAATAAGCTCACATGTGGTTATCGATTTAATCCTAGTAGATATAACTTGTTTTAACACGACTGTTATCTTTCACCACCTGTGATGGAAAAGCCAGCCTATATTTAAGCTGTACTTATGTCAATACTTTGTTCTTATTTTTGTTTCTACTCTGCAATCTAGTTCTTTATCACAATCCAAGCCTACTCACGAGGTTTCTTGGCTCGTAGATATGTTGCACAGTTACAAGCGAACAGGAATGCAGCCGCCATAGTGATACAGTCCTATTTCCGAAGATTTATTGTCCAACGTGATATATGTAATTGGCACAAATCAGCTATCCAGATTCAGAGTGCTTGGCGTTGTTATCATGCTCGTCGAGAATATCTTCAACTGAGAGAGGTAGGTGAAAATGTTTTAGGGTTAATGCTAAGGTGGTGGTATCATTCTTTATGCATAGCATTCAATTAAATAAGAAGAGAGTGTTATGGAGTTCCTCCTGGATGGACTTTGTGGAATGGGACTGTTAAGAGTCTTCAAGTTGTGCTAGGGAAATATGATTGGCTAACCTTTTTCACTGTATGTTCTACAAGTGATTTTTCCGTATGGTCTTAGAGAACAATACTTTTTAGTTACATTGTTAACTATCGTTTTAACATCGCATGAAACTGTGAATTGAAACTCCTCTGCGTAATACGATTTTGAAAATATTATTGAATGATGATGTTTGTGAATTTCTTATTGCATTATGGGCACCAATGGACTCATAGCATTAATTTGTTCAAGGACTGAGTTACTGCTCTGACCTCAAATGTGATTGTTTTAGTGGACCACCGTCCACCAAGTCTCTGATTTAAATCCTTATCCGCATAGCAATGCAGTAACGTCAGGAGCTCCGTTCCCATAGTTTGTGATGACCAAAACAGGTTCATACATCATTCGATCCTTTCGGATTATGGAGCACATGTTCATCAGGAGTTTAAACTGAGTGTTTTCTAGCTCCTCTAGGTGAACCAGCAATATCCACCAGTCTGATTGCAAGCACGAGATGTTCACATTCTTCCTTTCACTTCTGGGTTAGTAACACCCCGAAATGTTGAAGGCAGTGAATAGGAGTTACCTTTCAGAGGTTATGAATGCATGGTCACATGAGAGCATTTTTGGGGGAGGACTGGAGCCTACCCACCCTTTGTCGTATCAGGTTGTTATGGGGTAGTGTTTATAAAGTAATTTCTGGAATATAGGCATTGCATATGAAGTTTTCAGCAGAAGTTCAGGAGAAAATTTATGCGGCTTAAATTCCCTTTACTTTTGTCGAAATAAATCAACGAAGTTGATTTGTATACTTTCGGTTTCTTTCATACATATATCACACTTCATATATCGCTGCGACCTACATCGCTATTATTTTTGTTTTCAAATCACTTAGGCATGTCTAACAGTTCAGCGATATGTACGAGGTTATCATGCTCGCAAATACGCTTTAGAAATGCGTACAAAAATGACTTCAGCAGCTATAGTATTTCAGTCACATTTCCGAGGTTATTTGGTTAGAAGACAAATTTCTTGTTGGCATAGTGCAGCAATTCATATCCAGAAGAGTTGGCGCTGTTATTATTATCGACAACGTTTTCTGTCATTGAAATCGGTAATCTCATTATCCTTTTGTCGTAATTACTTTTGGTGGAATTTTTATGCATTTATTGATGAACATTAAAAACTACTCCCTATGCAGAAAATTAAAGATAGTGTAGAGCATCCTCATAGGGTTGTACAGTCCTACTTGTATTCACTAAAACGCATAGCACTCCATTACTGACTGTGTAATATGACTGACACAATAACTCACAAGGGATTCTGAAATATAAAAAGAAATCACGTAATATGATTACTGACACAATGAAAATAAGGTGAAAATTGTTGTTAGATGGCATTCAAGATGCTTTGGTATCCTCTTGTCAAGCATGAAAAAGGTAAGAACAGAATAGTGACTAGTAGAACACACAAAAAAGAACACGTAAGACTGATAATAGTGACATGCTTATTAAAAATAGAAATAGATCAGTAGAAATGAGTTTGGCAGCACGGTGGAATAAGAAACTGAAAAGTGTTTCCTGCGCATGAAGTTCGGAGTTTTTGGTGAAAAGTCGCTGACATCGCTACTGAAACATAACACTCCTTATTTGTTTTTGTCTTTTTTTCATTCCTTGCGTTCCGAGTGGAACATATGGCTTCCGGTTTTAAAGTTTCAGTAGCAGTGATGCATTCGTACGGAATGGGTTTGCTAACCTCACCCCCAGCCTCCAAGGGAGTTAACTAGGCCAGGTGTTGTAGGAGTGCTTCGGTCGAGGACTGAGCCCGGAGCAATGCATGAGGAGTGATCGAGTATTCTACCATTGAACCACAATACATCTCTTTAATATTCTGAGTAGTTTAATTTTCTTAGTTGAAATACCATTCATCTTTGTCCAATTCAGATGGTATTTGGCGGAGATCTAAATAGGAAGTGAAGTGGTAGGGCACGTTGACCGCTTCACTTACTTGGGAAGTACCATCAGCCCCAACGGGTTGATCTCCGACGAAATCTCAGCACGAATACAGAGGGCTAGTTTCGCATATGCCAGTTTACGCCGTCTCTGGCGTAGACGTGATATCCGGCTGGCTGTCAACCAAAGGGCGTGTGTACTGCTCATCAGTCCGCTCCGTCCTCCTTTATGGCTGTGAGACCTGGCCATTGAGAGCAGAAGACATGAAAAGATTAGCTGTGTTCGATCATAGGTGTCTGCGTTCTATCTTTCGCGTGAAGTGGTATAATAAGGTGAGCAATATTGAGGTTAGGCGTCGAGTGCTAGGTAAAGCGGGGAAATCAGTCGACGAGACTGTGAAATTACATCGACTGAGATGGTTAGGACATGTGCTACGTATGCCTAGTCATCGCCTTCCTCGACCGACAGGCAATGTTAGCTGATATAGGGTCAGGCTGGAAAAGAGCTAGCGGCGGTCGAACCAAAACATGGCACCAGTCAATGAAATCTACAACAGTTAGTCTAAGCCACGTAGGAAGGTTGGGGTCCTCGGGACGGCAAAAACCAATGGTTGGAAACAATTGGTGACATGGCTCAAAATCATTCTCAATGGCTGGTGCAGATGCATCCACTCCTTGTGACTTATGATTTCCAATGGAACTGTTTTGTTCTCCGTTACTACTACTATTCCTTTGTCTCACACCTCTGTTTACTGTCTATATTATGCATTTCTTCTACTTTGTTCTCTTTCTTTGTGTGCTACATGGAGTGTGGCGCCTTGAACTGCCGCACATATGTGCAAAGTTCTATGTCGAAAACCGACCGAATTTAGATGGTATTTGGCGAAGATCTAAAATCGCGATGGTTACTATTTTCATAATTTTTTTGGCTACATATCGTGTCACAATAGCTGATACTGTTAAACAGTTTTCAATATTCTAACCCAAGAGTTGAGAACGCTTTTTCTACACTCACCATAGCATATTTGACAGATTGTTTTGTGTTCTTCATCTTGCCACATATTTCTGACTTATTTTCGCCTGTTTTGTAAACTTGCAGCCTAATATTCATTCTTTTTTCTTTAAATAGCAATGTATCTCTGTGCAACGGTATGCACGAGGGTATCTGGCACGTAAACGCCTTGCAGAAATACAATCTAGACGAAATTCAGCAGCTATAGTTATTCAATCCCACTTCCGTAGATATTTAGTCTGTCGTGAAATCAATTTGTGGCATAGTTCAGCGCTACAAATACAAAAGTGTTGGCGTTCGTATCGGCATCGTAAAATCATTACACAATTTCAAGAGGTAAATATTTTCTATTGATGTGAATATAAATACCTACAACCATAATATATAACATAGTTGTTATATATATACGTTGTATTGTATTTGTACAATTCTCCTCTTTTTAAATTTCCACACTTACTTTCAAGAGGAAACTCCTCATCTGCTATCCAATTCCTTCAAACGTTCTATCTCCTATGTGTTAAGTGCTAGGTAATGAAGGAAAATCGATCGATAAAACTGCGAATCGACATCGGTTGAGGTGGTTAAGATACACGTTATGCATGCCAAGCTACCGTCTTCTTCAACGAGCAATGTTAGCTGACATAAGGTTGTATATTTGAAAAGAGTTGGAGGTGGTCAAACCAAAACCTCTCATCAATCAATGAAGTCTTTAACAGTTGGTTTGATCCAGCCCCATAAGTAGTTATAGACTAAGCGGGGTCCACCAGAATCTAAGGACCAATGGCTAAAGACTGTTGGTCAAAATGGTTCTCAGTGATGCAAATGCATTTACTCTTTAGAAGCTACCAGATCCATTAGGACTGCCATGTATGTATTTCCATGTTACTGTTCTTTCACCCGTACATTTCTGCTCATTACTATTAGTTTGAATTCTTTTCTTTTATCACCCTTTGTGTGTTAAATGAAGTGTTGCAACTTAAAGTGTTACACTTTTCTGCAGAGTTGCATGTTGACACTCAGTCAGTCAGGTTTACTAAAATGGAGAATTTGTAATAGTTACAGCCAAAGATTTCCAGTATATTTTGCACCTATCAAGTGTAAAATGTTAGAGACAGGTTTAAACATGTTCACTTTTTGTAATATTTAATCAAAGAGGGAAGTAGAGTAATACTTATATTAGCTTATGATTCAGTCTTTTCGGTGATACTTCCAACTTTTCTTGATTTTCTATTTTATGAAACATACATGTATATGTGCAGACAGTGTGACTCGTTGTGTACTAGTCTGTTTATAGCTCTTCCGGTTGTTATTTACTGATAATTTAAAAGATTTTCCTTAACATGTTTTATTTATTCCTTTACATTCTCAGTGGAACATAGGGCTTCAAGCTACAGGCTTGAAGTTTCGGTAGCAGTGGTGTTTATTTTTACAGGATGGGGTTGCTAGCCTCACGCCCAACCTTCCCTCTTTGCAGGTCCTATTACTGGCTTAGCGAGGTAAAGGAGTGTGCCGGCCGGGAATCGAACCCCGGACCATCTACAGGGCTGTCAAGCATTCTACCGCTGTGCCACCGACGCAGCATGTTGGAATGAGTTAAAGATCCTTGGTGTTCCGAAACAGGAGACGACACATAATGAGTCAGTGTTTCCCACATGACCTGTAAATCAGACATTTAACCCTAATATTCATTAAGAATCACGTCACTGAATTGTTATTGGTGCATGCTGTCCAGAGAGAACATAGTTTGTTATGTTTTAAAGTAGTAATTGAGCGGTCATGTGAAATATAACTATATAATTAGCTGTAATTTCTATTCCTCTTGCCCTTTCTATAGAACAATAAATGTTTGCCTCCTCAATCAATCCTTTGTGTCTTTCTCAGTGTGTGGGCGTAATAAGTCTCAGTAGCCTTTCGTGGAATTGACCCTAACTAACCTTATCGGCTTAGGAATTAACCGGCTACCAGGGAACAGTTTTGTTGACTCAGAATATGCGTATGATACTGACATCCTAGGTGAAGTCGCTGATACAGTGTAAAGTCTTCTTAACAATTTGAATAGGAATCTTTGAATGTGTGACATGCGATTCGATCCTTTAAAATGTGAGATACTGCATAACTGGACTACATCGGCTGCTAGCTAAAAGATAGGAAGTGTAGTGGTATGGTGTGTTGACCACTCGACTTGGAAAGTTGTATCATCTCTAATGCACTGACTGGTTGATAAAGAAATCTCAGCATTGAAACAAAAGACTCATGTAGTAGTTACCAACCTACGTCATCTGTGGTTTGAACGTGATATCCGGCTATCCTTCTCAGGACGTATATACTGCTCATAAGTTCCCTCTCTGCTTGTTCATGGCTGTGAGACGACCGTTGAAAGTGGAGATATGAAAAGACTGGCTGTCTTTGACCATATATGTTTGCGTTCTATCTCTCATGTTAATTGGTACAATATGGTGAGTAATGTTGAGGTTATCCGTATTGTGCTAAGTAAGGAAGGAAAGTCGATCGATGGGGCTGTGAAGCTAGGACACGTATCGCTTTCCTTGATGAACAATGTTAGCCGACATAGTATTAGGTTGGAAAGGAATTGGAAGTGGTCGAACCGAATCCTAGCACCAGTCCATGAATTCTTTGATAGTTGGTTTGAGCCAGCCACGTAGGGAGGTGTCGGCTGCGTGGTTGGTTGGGTTCCTCGTGATTCTACAAACCAATGGCTGGCTGGAGACTGTTGGTGATGTGGCTCGAAATCGTCGTCTATCGCTCAGATACATTGATTCCATGGTCCCGCGTATCCACTAAATCGTCATATTTTTCCATGTTGTTATTCCTTCGCCCTAACATCTCTGCTTTTTTCTCCTTTTGTCTACTGTTGTATGCTACATTGAGTGTGACAACTTGAACTGTTGCATTTCCGTGCAAAGTTCTACGTTGAAAATAAGTCACTCGTGGTTTACCATCGACGAAGTTTATGAGTGTGTCAACCGCTAACTGGATGCTGAACGTCTCTGTAGTCAGCGAGCATTCTACCAGTGAACTATCAGCACACATTCGCAGTAAACATGATTAATTAGAGTGTGTGGTTCTCAACTTCATCTCCTAGGTTTTTTAAAGTAAAATTCATCTGATGTTTTACAGTTAATATTGTTTCATACAATTATATTTTGGTCAATCACAGCAAACTTGTTGTTAATTATAGTGTATATTTCTCATCTTCATTGCCCCAAATTGATTTTATGTCAGAATTAAGATATGAATTTCCTTGATTTATGATTAAAATGAGTATTTTTCTGGTTTATTCACTAATTAGTAGTACCATTCATTATGATCACTTCTATCTTCTACTTGTAGATTGTTTCACTGGTACTAACGCGTCACAATGCATCTGTTAAAATTCAAAGCTGGTGGCGTGCTTGTTATCTTTCACGATTATTCAATAGACAACGTCTTTCTGCTATACGAATTCAAGCCACATGGAGAGGTTTTCGACTGCGTAAACATCTATTGACTTTGACACAACCGTCAAAAATTTCCAGCAATTCAACAAAAGTATTATCACATCAGACAATTAATCGAAGAGGCAATTTTGCCGCCAGTATTCCACTCAAGTTAAAATCCGCTCCAAAAGCTGGTGGTGATATTAAATCCAAACCCCCAAAAGAGAAAGTCTGTTTATTATCACTTTCATCATCTGAGGCGAAATCTTTGCTAGGCATACGTTCACGTCTGAATAAAGCAACACAACGTGCACGCATTCATCCAAATTTGACATTGGTTGCAAAAGCTCGAAATGCATTAAAACAACTCTCTCAATCTACGTCAATAAATCAGATAATCGATGCAATCAAATTTTTGCGTAAGTTTATACCTATAGAGCTTTGTAATAAATTTCATCCTTGTTCTCTTCACCAGATAGACAATCTGCAATGCTTATTGGTATTACCTGTGTTAGAAAAATATAATATTTGATTCGTAGCCGTTTCTGTGTTTCTTGTTCCTTTATTTGCTAAAGCGCAGGGGTTACAAGTAAAGTTAAATGAGAACTTTTTGATATGATATCAGGACCAACTGACTTCAAGATGTTGTCTTAGCTCTCTATATCAAATAAAATGTAAGACCTTGCTAGTGAATAAATATAATTTCGTCCCTGTCTTGGACTCTTTGACAGTACGCACCCACCGGGATTCGAACCCATTACCTCACGGTTACGAAGCGAGCCAATGGTCCATGAATCCCAACTTCTGCCAATTCGTGGCAAATTTAGCGCCACCGCCAGCCAATTCCAGAGGCGGATAACTGTCCTCTTGTCAACTCATGATCAATTCTGTAACCAATCAAATCTGTGCAAACCAACACTCACTGTCGACTGGCTGCATACAGGAAGTAACCTGAAGTTCTAGTGAGAAGCTGTGACCAGCGGAGCCCTCCAAGTCAAGTAAGAGGACAGTTACACGCCTGGAGGTTGCCCTAAATTCACCACGAGTTGGTAGAACTTGGAATTCATGGACCATTGCATCAGGTCCCAGTAGCTGAGTGGTCAGTCTGTAAACTCGCCTCGAACCCCACTGTGTGCATACTCATGAAGTGTCCCAAACTAGGACAAGACAGCTGTCCAGTACTCTCAGGATTTCCGATGGTTCTCTAACTGATGTCAACTCTTAATCACTTCTTTAACCAATCAAATCTCTGCAAACCAACACTTGATAATTTTCCATATCAGAATTGATACTGCGTCATACCTATTTTATATGTGATCCCGATTTGTTGATCTGACTGACCTGTTTATCTGACCTCACAGTGATAACGTGGTATTTGTTAAGTTCAGTTATTAATGTCTAATTAGGTCACCGTTATACATGCAGTGCATGCAATTAAACAAATAAGGGTAAGTCGGAGTAAATTATTAAAAACTAATATGCGTAACTGAAAAGAATCTTTTCTCATCGAACCAACATCTAGAACATATAATAGAATGATACAACACCAATCCCTCATATATATATAAATATATATATATATATATATCCTGCTTAATCATCTTGTGAGGTAACTCACCGGCATGCACATCTTCCTTGTGCTCTTGTAAATTTCACTTTCGAACAAACGATTGTTCCCACGGGCGAACGAAATCTCCGTACCATATAAAAGAACTGAATTGATATTAATGTTGAAAGTTCACTAATATCAGATCAGTTCAGATCATCACATTACAGTAGTATTATCTTAATAAATAGGATGAGGATATATGTTACTACAAACCAAACTTGCCCAGATTTCATCTCAGTGTACTTATATAAGTAGAATGAAGGCGGTCAATTACAACTTGAAATTTCCTTAGGTAGTTGGTTTAATATTACGTGCCTAAGGGAACACTGATCACACAAGATGCTGCTATGTTTTGCTGTTACAAAGATGTTATATCAACTTTTCTGTACAGCTGAAATATCTGTTGCAGAGTTCGTTATATACCATGCACGGAAATACCTTGCGATAGCTTTTATTCTCACCCACTAAATAGTGGTCATTTTATCAATAGGAATTAATTTAGATCTACTACAATAACTCATGGAAATTTGTCTTTCAAAACACCAGTGCTTAACATTAATTCTATACTTTTTTCGTGAAATTATGACAGATACTCTGGGTGGATGTATGTGTGTTAAACTTATTTCTTTTCTTTTCATCATCTATCTTTTGGCTTTAGAAATGGCTACTGGTTTGTCAGTGGAACTATGCTATTGGATTGTTGGTTTGCCAACTCCTAACAGTCTATCATCTAGTGAAAACAATGAGAATTCACCAAGTGTACTGATTCGTTTCTTTCAAATTATGATGGCGTGTAATCGGTCTGTACCACATGAAGACATTTTTGTAGCTATCACTGGGACACTCTTAAATATTGGACGGCATAAAAATTTGGCCTGTAATACAGATATATGGTGGAATCCATTATTTTCTAAATTCAAATCAAGTGATAATGAAGAAAATGTAAATAATAATAGTACTGATGATATTGAGGAGGAATTCTCGACTCCAGCAATTGTACATTCTCTAAACACCCAGTTACGACGTTATCAAAGTCTTCCAGGCCTAAATGCAATTGAATCAGATATCAAAGTAACACTTCCCCCATGTTCACTTCGAAGGACATCTACTCAAGCTGTTTCTACGGAGCAAAAATTAAATTCCTTGTCTATATCAGAGAATATGTGTTTAATTGAAGTTTTAGTCGGAATACTTCAGAGGACTTGGCGCGCTCGTCCTGGAACAGTGGTTGGTATCTTTTATATATATTACCCTTGTGTATTACGTAATAATTGTTGCCCATATGTGTATTTTATAATCGTTGGATATACTTTCTCATAAAACTAATATCCCTACTACACTTGATATAGAAAAGGCTATCACTTGTTTGTATTGTAACTATTTGGTTATATTATTCAGTGTAGAGCTTTTTCTAAATGAACAAACCACTCACTTATGCTGTAAAAACAGGAATTGATTTCTGTGGTTGGAGTGTATTTCGACATAATGTATATCTGAAACGTGTAATGTATTACCCCAACACATTTCAGACATTCTGTTAACACACATACTTGTCTCAGTGATGTGCTGTCTCATAGATGATGTTGGGCATTTATTCTCAGGTTCACTTGAATTAGATTTTATTTGTTCTTGAAGCCACTTAGGAATGTGTTCTGTAGTCCTGATCTGTAGAGACCGATGGATCCTTCCTATTTACATGTGGCCACACACAGATATAAAGTGATAAACACAGTGAGATATGAAATTCTATGAAAATGAACTTGTTCCGTTTAATACCGCTCTGGATCTTTGCATAATGATCAGACTTTGACCCAACTGATAGCTGCCACCTTGATGTGCTAGTTGGGTGCTTACATATCTCAATCATCTTACGAGCTACACCAGCTGAAACTAATGCTTCTACAGGTCGTCATACTAAAAAGGTCGTTTGGACGGCGGTTAGATGAAAAACAGTTTCTGTCATAATGTAATTTGTTTACACTGTATCGGGAAGTATGTGCGGGAGTAGGGATCTGACAGCAGTAGGGTGTTTCCCTTGGATAATCAGCCATGCTGCTTCCCCACTCTGTAGAGAATGGTTAGAATAGGTCGACTCCTAAAATTGTTCATCCTGACTCATCTTGCAGTTGCCAGTAGTCAGTGGTAAGATCACAATACGAACGCAACGCCAAAACCACTGCAAACAAACCGTGTGTGACCGGCCTCAAATAGTTGTTCCCTTCGCTCTAGTACCACGAAACACTAATATTCCTGTTTTATGTGCTCCAAGAAGAAAGCAACTCCCACGCGTTTGTCAAATCAAACTTTTGTAATTGCAATTGTAGAAACTTCCCTTTTGGAGGGCCGATTAGATTGCTTGCAGCGAATACATTACACATTTCGTATAAATTACGTCTTCTTATCATTTTTTGTTAAAATTCATAAATGGAACTAATTACTTTAAATTTCTGGAATTTATTTGTCAAGCTCACTGTGTTTCTTACTTAAAAAGCCATGTAAGATATTTCATAAAAGAAAAGGCTTTCAGCGAAGAGTTACTCTTTTCGGCGATACCATTCTCAAGCTGTACAATCGTATATATATATAGTTGATTGTCTTAGCAACAAAATGAATACTTCAAAGATTTGTCATTAGAATTGTAAATTTTAGATAACAAATTTCGTTAATGGGTTAGAGAGAGAGACTAAAGTAAGATTAAATCAGCGAGTTGAATGACGTAATCTAACTGATGAGGTTGAGTAGAGATCAGCTAAAATTAAAATTGAACAAAAGTCAAGTTAACAACACTGGTAATAAGGGCTGGCAGAAGAAAATTTCATACAATTAAGAAACAAACAAGCTATAAAAGAAGACGAAACAAAAATTACGCATTTGGTATTAAGATAGGTCAGGTCCACTGTAGATTTAATCATTGAACAAACTCCTTTTGTATGCAGAGTTCAGGTTTTAATATGTGAATCACCATTGCTTCTGCAGCAGGCTGTAAGCAGTAGTTACGAAAGTATTATAAATAATTTCCCAAGTATCTATTTCTATTTTTACCCAATGTAATTCTCTGTGTACATTTGTCACGACAAAAAAAAGTTCATTGAACAGTAAACTACTAAACAGTTACACTTCCTTATGTTTATGTTAGTCACTTGAAGAAAATAATGTAGTTAATGTATGCTAATGCTGAAGATTTTGTCTAGAAGAACAATAACAGAATAATAATCCAATTGTCCAACCATCTAATCAACACAGCAAAACTAAAAACTCTAAATATATAAACCATTCAGATGTTATTGGTATGGTATAACTGGAAGTCAAAACAAGGTGAAATCCCTGTATATGAATAGTTTTTTTTTCTTACCGAATAGAGATTACTTGTCCTCACAGCTTCTAATTTGTCTTATCATCATCGCTTAGATTCGATGGGAAGAAGTTATGACTTTATGAAACTCAGTACCATAAATAGATGAAGACACCTGACCACCAACAACAACAAGCATCAGTCACATTTAATTTGAGTAATCTTAAGGAAGTCATCTCTTTCATTCTCCTGACCAGGCAGTATAGATGAGAATGTCAAAGCCAGTTATAATCGGATCGGGAAAGCAAATCAATGGGATCATTCACAGCACTTAAGACAAAAAAACAAGATCCTCATTTATAGAGTCGATGTCCTGCCAGTCTTTCTATATGGCTCATAGATTTGGCACGCACATCACGAACAGCATTTCTAGCATCCTGTAACAGACTTTCTTCAAAAATCTTTCTTCGCTTAATACTGGAGATCGGATGGCCAGTCACAAAGGATAAACAGCAGCAAATACTGGCAGTACGAAAGGTAGCCAATAATCTTATTACCCAAAAATGATACAGAGGAAAATGTGGTTGGATTGGCTACACGCTGAGGACACCGTTAAGTGACATCACACGCCAGGCAGGTCGTTGATTGGAATCGGAATGTGAAGCAACGTGTTGTGCATGTGTCTTAGGGTGATATGAAGATTAAGTGAAGAAGAAATGAGCAGTTTTGGAGCAAGTTGAATACGATGGTAAGGAAGGGATTGAAGTGGAAATATGCCTTTGAAGTCGTATGTTCGACTCTCGAAATACAAGGAACGAATGATAGTATATAATATAATAATATAGGAGATTTGACAGTTATCTGTGGATTATCGATACCGTTTCGCTTAGTAGTTCAACAGTTTAGGTCTCATATTCGTTATTTTCACTTTTTCTTATTTTCTAACTTAGAGTATACGTCTGTTCAGTCGTACGTGTTGCGTCCTCGCTCTTCTGTTCACTCCTGCTCCTGCTGACTTGTTCTTGATTAATTCTTCCCTATTGGCAATATTACGAGAAATTCATGAAGGTTTATATCGCCGATCTGATCCACACTCTCAATTCCATTTGAATTTCGACCCAACTGGAAATACTACTAATTCTCTTAGTGTTAGTGATTTACGCATCAAATTATCAAATGCTGATGTGAAGAAAATCCGTACACATCTCAGGTTAGCATTATTATTATTATTATTATTATTATTATTATTATTATTATTACTTTCTCTTGTTCTTATTATCTTTTTTATATGAATAGAAGTTGTAAAGAATTTATCCTCATTGTACGTGTTTGTGTACACATCTATATGAATTGACTAATAATTACAGGGTACTCATACAAGTGCGTCGGTTATCCATTGGTAGAATGCCCTCCAACCAACCACGCACGTAGTCCGCGTCCGATTCCCTGGAAAAGAGGGAAAATTGCACGTGAGGCTAGCAACAACCCTACGACTACTGAAACTTCTCGGAAGCTTGAAGTCCTATGTTACACTCGAAATGCAAAGGAACGAAAACAAAAACTTATATACCAGTTAAGAGTAACCACTAACTACACATTGAATAGTCGTTTTTTCTGACGTGAAGTTTATCAACGACTTGTTTGTTTTGATTCCGTCTTCACATCTTCATATAGATTTTTTTCTGCAAATAAAATTCAGGATTGGATTTCAAATTAATAGTAAGGTTTGTATCGACAATTACGTTAAGGTATTGTTTTCAAGATGTGTAATTTATGATAAAATGGTCTAATTTCTCGATGATGTCAACTCTAATGACGACATGGTCAGCCAACACCTGACATATATATATATATATATATCAGGTGTCGGCTTGCAGAGATTTGATTGGTTACAGGTGTGGCCACGAGGTAACAGTCAGTTAAAGGACCATTGGAAAACCTGAGAGTAAGTGCACAATTGTTTCGTCCTAGTTTGAGACTCTTCAGCACTGCGCACCTACTGGGGTCCGAACAATAGACTATTCTGATGGCTTAGTGATTAATTCCAGATTTGAGGAACAAACACTTCTACTCCTGCATCCATTGACTTCATTTTTTGGCTGCTTCCTATCAATTTGTATCTACATAGCGCACGCCACATATGTACTACTGATTAATTGATTGATATGAATCGTTATAAAACATTCGTGTTAAACAGTAATGCATGGTAGTCAGTCAGATCAAAGTAATGTAAGCAACTGGGCAGTCGTTTCGCTCGTTTAGGGCCGGGCTCACCAGCGGTGTACTACCCTCGTCAAATCAATTCAAACCACTCAGGTTGTGATTAGTCACTTGGGTGAATTGCACTTGCGGTTTTCGCATCTCTCTTCCCATAAATTATTTCCTATTTATTTCTTTATTCCACTCTTGTTAGTAGCTGATTGATGCATCACATAGATACACACACACACACACACAGAGGACAAAATCCATCTAATTAAGTAACGAAAAACTGAAAGTTAGTCCACTGAGGAGAAGTATAACTTCAGATTACCAAAATATTTATTGCCTCTGCTGGAAGCGTCTGGTGAAAAGTTTTTGAAATGTAGGCTATACACACCTAGGAAAGTAGTTCGAGGAAAAGCCGGGTGAATATTCAGCATCTAGGTGAAATACATCGTACATATACAGAGTCTTGAGATCCGCTATCATGAGGAAAAATGTCAGCCAATCCAGGTAGTAACTATGATAGGTAATCTGAACGGGGTTTCAGGCTATTAGTGACAGATACCTTGAGTACTTGGGATTTTTCAGTCCATTTTTTGTGCATAATTATTTGTAACTTAACAATTTCCTAAATCTCCTGTTATGATTCAGTTGATTATCTTGTTACCAGTAACAAAAGTAGGAGAGTTTTACTTACATTATCAGATTTATCAATATTGTTGACGAAATCGACGGTGAAATTAATCCGAAATCGAAATAATGACTACCGACTAGATGGATGAATATCCCGATGGTCTGATAAGAAGTTGTGTCCCATGGAGTTCACCATAAATTAGAGTGAATTTGGTGCTCATCAACTGCATAGGGTTGGCAATAATACTTTATCACAAATCACTTGTCGTGTCACTGAATTCCATCCAACCTACTGGCTGAATGGTTCATCACAGAGTAGTCTATTAACTTGAAGATCCTTGGTTCGACCCCTGGTAGGTGTTTTGGCGCTCACTGATGAAGTGTATCAAACTGAGACGAAACAGCTGTATCCAGTGCTCCTTGGTGTTTAGTGGTTCATGACGAAATCCACAATCCAAATACCCAACCACCCACCCCCCTCGCATAAAATACAAAATCTGAATATTCTGGATTTTCCTTAATTTCATGTTTGTTTGTTTGTTATTTCATTGTTCTCGCTTAATAATTAAATTATTTCATTTATATTGTTTTCACGTTTATTTTTGTTTAGTTGTGATTTAGACTGGCATTTCAAACCAATCAAAACTCGTCCTAATCCCCTATTGGCAATTCATTATTTATTGTATATTGTTGAAAAGAAAATGTCCTCTGCGTAATTGTTATTGTTGATTGGGTGATTGGGTGATTGTGTGTAGTATGCGACTGAGATAGTTGTTGTTTCATTTTTGTATTTATAAAATAAACGGTGCTACATATGTATAATATTCCATACTTGGTATTTTATTCATTCCTTCTTTAAAAATCTCACATCTGTATATCAGCTTCTTTTTATGCATTGTATAAAAGACTAATCTGTAGTGTATTTTAATGAAATGATGTGATGACGATGAGCGTCAATTGGACCGAATGTAACTATACAGACAACATGTTGCTTTTCTCTGCTCCTAGAAATTCCCATAATATCAACTAACCAATTTCTACAAAACATTTGATGTAATATGCATTGATAACTTTGTATTTTTATGGTTTCTTATTCTTCATATTTAAGGTGTATTTGCTTAACTTTTGTTTTCAAGTGAAGTTTTTTTTCTTTCTTTCTAATCTGTTCTTCTTTAACTACGTATTTGTGTGTGTATGTGGGCGTGCGTGCGTTCGTCTGTAAATGCTCAGCAATACTTCGCGAAACAACAAAGTCTGAACTGGATGCATCAGTCAGTATTGTGAATTTGAAGATGTTCTCTCTTATACATATCGGATGATGACTGCGTTATACTGAACATTCACGGAAGTTGGGGGACGTTAAAGAAAGAAGTTTCCTACGATTTCTGATAGATGACATGGCATTTATTTAAAACTCATAGTGCTGCTCAACAGTTAGTTAGTTCCGGCGTTTCTTTCGCACTTAGCTGGATGATGATTGATTGTCTTGTTGAATGTTGTTTTGTGATGATAATAATAATAATAATAAAATAAAAGCTGTACAGAAATCAATTGATTCTTCATCAAATGTTCAGTAGCTTTCTTTCGTTTGGTTAGTTTTTTCTTTTGTCGCCAATCATTATAATAAAGCCAATGTGTAGTTCATAATTTTTTTTCAACATGTGGTTGTGACTTTGGAAATCACAGTCAACAACTATATTTGAATTGTAATTGTGAACTCTGATCACTGCTATGCAGATAGATACTGGGTGTAAAATTTTTCAATGGATTCGTGTAGGATATTATATCACGCACTTGTACTTGTAGGTGCTGTTATATCGATCTCAAATATATTTTGAAGTGAAATTAAACAATACACTAAAATATATCTTTCCGTTGGAAAATATAAATAAAACATCTCTTATCATCAAATAAGAAATTTATAATGTAGACTTTTCAGAGCTTTTGTTAAATAATGTTTTAAGGTGAATTTATAATTGTTTCTTTTGATTCCTAGTGGAATATACGGCTTCAGCACCATATGTTCATTACACTGGGTTCGCTGACTGACTGACTAATTGGTTTCAACGTAGAACTTTGCATAGACGTGCCAGCATAACGACAGAAGACAAGTGCCAAGCAACAGATCGTTTATTGAAAAAATCAGCAGATATTTATATATTTCTATGTACATCATTATTTGTTATTTTAGCAGAGAAACAGCGTCTTCTGATTGATTGTTTTCTCGCTGAAAGTTAATCTCTCATCTCTTTGTGGCCGTTTCTTTGAAGGTCAGACCATATAACTGCGAATCGTATCCGCCCACGCAAAGTCTTCGTTCTTGTTTTTCTCATGACCAAGATTTGGGACGTAAACATTGATGTAAATTCCTGTCTACTAATATTGGCTAGCAGACAGCTCTCACCACACCAGCAGTTCGAGTTGCCACACTCCATCTAGCACACAAACCAAGAGAAGAGAGTAAACAACACAGATTCAAAGCAGAGATAATAAACAGAAATGTGAGGCAAAAAGAATAGTAATATGGAAGAACAATAGAATTTTATTGGATGTCAGTCAGCTAACATCGCCCGTCGAGGAAGGCGATCGATGGCTAGGCATGCGTAACACATGTCTTAACCATCTCTCTCAATCGGTTTAACTTCATAACCTCGTTGATTGAATTTTGCCTCCTTACCTAGCACTAGACCGATGCCTAACCTCAATATTGCTCACCTTATTATACCACTTAACATAAGAGATCGAATGCAGACATCTGTTGGGGGGCGTATGCGGAGACTATGAAATGACAACGACGGATAACACCATCCTTCCTTCGTCTAACGGACCCGTTTAAGCGGACTGCACACATACGACTACCTACTGGGATCCAGTTAAGAATTGATTTCTCTGCCCTAACACTCAATGCTACCCCTACACCTGCGAGTCCTTGCGAACTAGCCGAAGAGTCTGCTGACACCCTTAAGGTGAATTTCGCAGATTCATCTTGTTGGCCGGGTGGGGTTGAATGAATAAGCACAGTTGGGTCTTGAATGTGTGTTCATCGCTGGAGATGCCAGAGTTCTGACTAGTAATACCTGTTTTCCGATTTGGCAGAGGGTCCTGATGCTAAAGCATGGCTTTAAGAGACTATCGGGGGTGTTTTTCTGGTTCATCGTTATTTGTGGTCACAGAATGAAACAAAGATGACTCATTAGCCTGCAGAATAGTATTTACAGTAGGAGGAAAACAAGATGATGAGGGCGACAGGGATAAAGGAGGATGATGAACAGGAGGGTTTCGTGTGCTTTTGGCAGTGTGTGGGCAGTTGTTACTTCCCGGCCGCCCACACCGTGGGAGTTGATTTTGTCTTCGGGTACCTTAAACAGAAAGAGGGTTTGTGTTGTGTGACCGCAGAGCCCAGGGTTAACTGCTTGGATTGGTTCCGTATTATTAAATCTACCGCCGGTTACGGACCACTGTAGAGTAAGTTGGGATTTACAGTTTAGGAGTTGACCTTTTCTAAGCCCCTCTCTCAAGAGTAGAAAGACAGCATAGTTGGCTGACATACTGGTTATTTGAGGGAAACACCTTAATGCTGTTACTCCCTGTTCCCCAACAGTACGACTTTGCCCACAGACCTCCAACATAGTGTGAAACAAAAGATGTTACACTATGCCTTTAGTCTAATCGCCATCCTAACAATCTTCCTGGTATAGTGGGTGGGACCTACAGGATCAATAGTCCCACTTAGTGTAGCTTGTTGAGTTACTGCTGTATGCTAGTCCAACCACCACGTCAAGATAGCAGCTGTCGGTCGGGACTTGGTTTTCTGCCATCACTTTCAACTGGCTACACTACTGTCCACTAGTTGTCATTCCCTCCTCACATAATCTTCTCCGATACACTCACAACTCGTCACATCCCATTCGGGGTCCACTGGAGAAAAATTTAATGTAAAAAGTGTAGATCTGACAGAAAGCAGCTGAAACTGGCTTAGACCGGTATAAACCAGTCTGGATAAATTAAACCAAATATTTGTCATAATCCAAGTGGATAACCTTGAATCCCGACCTTATGCACCCAAATTATCATTAGTTATATTTCAGCTTAACTTTCTGAGGTTGATGTTATTTATCTACGATTTATTTTTTCTATAATAAATTGAACCGTCCTCTCATCTAGTCTTCAGTTGAATTGCCTATTGCTCTTCAATATCCAATCCACAATGCAGCAGCAGTGTTATTATGTAAACGAATAATAACAAGATCAAAGCTGTCTCGGTTAATTAATGTCATCTAACTGCAGAATGTGCATATGCTGCCTTTCTGTGATGACTGATGGTACTTAAAATGTAAGGTTGTGGTGAGAGCTGTCTGCAAGCCAAAATTGTAAGCAACAATTCCCGTCAATGATTACTTCCTAAATCTTGGTCATGAGAAAAAACAAGAATAAAGCCTAACCTTGAGGAACTCAACAACCAATCACAGCAGACTTAGCGTGGGCGGATACGATTAGCAGATATACCAACGAACTGTCTAAGAAACGGCAGCGAAGAAATGACAGAATAACCTTCAACAGGAAAACAACCACTCAGAAGACGTTACCTCTCTGCTAACAATAATCTGCAATAATGTACATAAAAATCTATAAATATCTGTTGATTTTCTCAATAAACGATCTGTTGCCTGGCCCTTGTCTTCTGTCGTTACAAGATAAATGAATTAATTCTTTCTGTCAATGAATAATATGATCATAAATAGTTAATTGTACCATATTATATTGGTATATTGTATCCTCTTCTGAAGATCCAAACCGCACCATGACATAAGCGGTGTTATTCATCCTGATTGCCTTGCTCCAACTAATAATGTCACATTAATGACCATAGACAATATTATTAATACTACTGAAACACAAACTTGATACACTATGAGTGCCAAGAGATGCACCAGACAAAATATCATCGTTCTTACGCAGATAGGCTATGAATGTGCCGTTTAAGCCCAATATTCTAATCATACGACTCTATATTACATAAAATGAATTGATATAACACACAGTAATTAGTATTAATAACTTAACGACGTTTCGAGCATAATTTATTTCTCATAATCATAGCGTATTCACACGGACCGGGATAGGTGTTGCATTATTATTATTATTATTTCTATTGCACATGAAGAGCAACTAAATCAACAATAAACACGTACAGTCGAAATGGTACAACCCCCATACCGGATCTGGGAAAAATCTCAATAAAATCAGGAGGGTCATTTATAGCGAATGAGGGAGCCATATGAGTACACGGTGCTTAAATCCTACTCTTACGGCCATATGACTGATTTACGCATAATATCTAGTACAAACATTTCACTGAAGCCTGGGAGTCAGGACGAAGAAAAGTCGGGTCGGGTGTGAGGACAAATACTCACCGAAGACATTGGCTAGGGGTCGTGCTATGTCGTGAATTGGTAGAAGTTAGAATTCATGGGCCATTGGATCGGGTCCTAGTGGCTTAATGGTCTACGAGCTCGTTCTCCTTGTAACCAGAAGGTCCTGGGTTCGAATTCCGGTGTGTGTACTGATGAAGAGTCCCAAACTAGGACGAAACAGTTGTCCAGTACTCCCAGGTTTTCCATGGTTCTCTAACTAATGTCAGCTCATGATGAAAATCCTGTAACCAATCAAATCCCTACAAACCAACACTCGAATAAAAGTTGTTGGATATAAACAC